ACAGTTGTAGGAAATTTCAAATTTTTCAGAAAAAAAAATGAATTAGTTAGAAATATCTCAATAGGAACAACAGGGGCCTTGGTGGCGGAGTGGTCTGAGTTGTCGATTTACTGTATCACTAGCCAGTCAACACTGAGGTTGTGAGTTCGAATCCCACACGGGGCAGGTGCACTCGACTCCAATCTTAATTGACTAGGATTGTCAGTTTTCCTACCGAAGGTCATGGTTCTCTCTGTGCACTCCGGCTTCCTTTACCAATAAAAACTGAATGCCACGAAATAGCACAATAGTGTTGAAAGTGGCATTAAACACCAATCAATCAATAGGAACAACAGAGCTTGTAGTTTAAAAACAAAACAATATAAGTATTAATTGTTAACTTGTTCTCATCCTGAACATGCCAGAAATATTTTATTCTTAACATTAAGGAAACATAAACCGATCAATCAATTTACAAAAGAGATATGGTTTTTATTTTGGATAAGATTTATGTAGGATATGGTTTTAATTTAGGATATGTATATGTAAGGATATGATTTCAATGTACATTGTAGGATATGGTTAAAGTATAGGTCAGGATAAGATTTATGTTTATAGGATATGGTTTTAAAGTTGGATATAGTTCTAGTATATGATCAGATTTATGTTTGAATATGGTTGCAATGGAGGATATGGTTTTAGTATAAAAGATATATGTTAGAACATGGTTTCAGTATAGGATATGGTTTTAGTATAGAAGATATATGTTAGAACATGGTTTCAGTATAGGATATGGTTCTAGTATAGAAGATTTATGTTAGAATATGATTTCAATGTGAGATATGGTTCTAGTATAGGATAAGATTTATGTTAGGATATGGTTTCAATATAGGATAAGGTTTTAGTATAGGATAAGACTTATGTTAATAAATGGTTTCAATATAGGATAAGATTTATGTTAGGATATGGTTTCAATATAGGATAAGGTTTTAGTATAGGATAAGATTTGTGTTAGGATATGGTTTCAATATAGGATAAGGTTTTAGTATAGGATCAGATTTATGTTAGGATATGGTTTCAATATAGGATATGGTTTCAATGTGGGCTATGGTTTAAGTAAAGGATAAGATTTATGTTAGAATATGGTTGCAATGTAGGACATGGTTTTAGTTTATAATAATATTGATGTTAGGATATGGTTTTAGTTTATGATAATATTGATGATAGGATATGGTTTTAGTTTTGGATAAGATCTTTATAAGGACTTGGTTTCATTTCAGAACATGTTTATTTAAGGGTTTTAGTATATATGGTATGGCATTAGATTTATGTTAAACTATGGTTTAAGTTTGGGATTAGATTTTTGTAAGGATATGGTTTTAGTTTTTGGAAGGTTTTATTTATAGTTTTGGTTTAATGGCAATAAAAATGTCCTTGCCAGTTTTTTAAATATGGTTTTGTGATGTCTTTTCCCTAAACCCAAATTTTTCTGACAACCCTGTTAATTTCCCTTAAAATACAAAATCAAAACATTTTATCAAGCTGTTGGCGATTGCATCCAAAACAAGTATTTACCAGAGGAAGAGAACACATGTATTCTAACTTATTGATAAACTTTAACACATCGTGCATTCTGCTCTCGTACTGCTGTGCACGTTATATAAGGGCGATGTAGAAAAATACACAGGGGATCCTGAACACTTTTTTTTTCCATCTTGAGGAGGTGACCCTTAAAACCAGGTTTGACTATAGCCATAACACAATATTCATACCACACAATGTCTAAGCACAATGCAGTGTCATAATGTGATAAGTGCTTTCTGACATTAAATTTTATAACTGTATGAAAAAGAATGAAGATAGTATATGAGATTGTGAACAATGAATGTTACCTAAGAAAACTTACAAGGTGTAAACGGAATTTCTTACCCAAATATTTTTGACTATGTCAGTGCATATTTTATATAACTTTGGGTAATAATTAATTGATTTGTTTGACAAAAATCAGAGATTTTACGGCTGATATGTCAATTTTTACCAATTCGTCAATGAAAAATTACTTTATTTGATTCATCATGACCCTTGGGCCAAAGAACTATGTTTTTTAATTTCATAGTGGTATTAATAAAAAATATTCAATGCCTGAATTACAAGTGTAACAACTTGTTTTTTTTTAATATGATAATTTTCCATTATGAATGTTTACTCTTGTGAAGCGATTGCAAGATTTAACAGTTTAATATGGGTTTAATAAGTAATTTATTCTATCACATGGAAGGCTGTTTACAGGTAAATCTGTGTTTGTTACAGATTACTTCACACTTCATATCAACAGGTAGTCAGGCCCTTTAACATTGACCAACATGTGGAGGGAAAATTCATTGTCAAAAAAATAATAATTGATTCGAAAAGGATGTTTTTGTGGTGAGAAAGCAGATTTTATTGCTGTGTCAGAGTTAGAAACTATTGTTCATATGACATTTTTGTTAACTGTTAGAATATTAATAGTTCAATTTGCATTTTTCTGCAAAGAATGGGAAATAATGGCACACAATAGAGAAATGTGAGTACTGTCACAATATTTATAATGATTATTTTTTATTCAGTTTTGTATTTTAAATTTCAAGCTTTAATTACAAAAGTGAAATATTAGCTGGAAATGACAAAAATTCTGAAAATGAAAATTGCCTTTGGTTGACAAATATTTGTTATATGTGATGATGCATGGTTGTTATGACTTAAGAATTAACTTTTTTTACTTTTGTATACATACAGATCATGAAATAAAACAAAAAGTAATCTGGTATCTTAAACATATGAGTTATTTCCATTGGCTATTTGTAATATTGATTACAGTATAAAGTATATACAGTTTAATTGAGTCATACAATTATTTTGTGATAATTTACCATTTTTTTTAAAAACACATCTTTACACATACTATAAAATTTATTGTACTTGATACCTATAAGCTGTGTTGCTTTTGGAATAAAGAATTTATATTTAAAGTAGTAATAAGAATTTAGGAATTTGACACAAACATTTTAATATATCTGACACTTTGAGTAAACATAATTTTACTTTTTTTCACCTCTAACAAATATGTCATTAATTCAGTACCTGTCATTACCAGGTAAAAATGTATAATTGTGATTAAGCAGTTCATTTTCTATCATAAATAATAAGGTAAAAGTACTCATACATATTTTTGATCTTTTTCCCTATTTGAACATTCTATGTAATGTCATTTTTTGCATATAAATGTTAGATTATTTTACAATAAAGTATCATTATGTAGATATTTATGTAATTCCTTATGTTCATAAAGCAAAAGATATAAGTATATATACAATGATGGTTTTTATGGAATGGTATAATCTATTTGTTTGGGAAAATGTCAGTGAATTTTTGCTTATCCATTGTCTACTGGATAGTAAAGTAAACCAAAGAATAACTTATTAATGATGTGTTCGACATGTTTCTGTACTTATAAAAAATTAATATGCACTCAAAGCCTTTAACATTGGGAAATCAAATTGAAAAAAAAATCACTGCTAAAAAAATCAAATTGTTAATAAAGTTTTTATGAAAGTATTGTGATAGTAACAGGTTTAAGTTTGCTGTTGTACAGTATGTTTTTAGGACACTTCGACAAGTGATAGTCCAATTAAACAAAAAAGAAAATGAGTTACGTTTCCTTTGTTCTGTGTACTGTTCATTATCAAATAAAAATCTCATTGACATTCCTTTACACCATTAAATCCCAAAATAAGAATGGTGCGGCAACTATATTGATCTATTGTGTCAAAGTTTTATTAAAATTTGTTTTCAAAACAGCTATTATATTACTTTAAAATTGTTGCAACTATGTATAAAGGATATTATTGTTGAAAAATCTATTGTTCTTGCCTAGTATTGTTGTTGAAATTCACAATAAACAGTTAGAAGGGATTGCATTTTTATGAGCAGTCCCTGAATATTTCAGAAGAAATGTCAAATAATCTTAGTAGTGAAATCTTGATAAATAAATGGAGAATGTGTCTATGGGCCACAGATGCCCCTGCTTGTAAATATGCAGGAGTCTACTTCCACATACAGATGCAGGATTCACGTAGTAAAGACCGTTTGTGATTATAAGCATTGTGCATAAGTTTCATAACATTTGGTTGAGGCAAACTAAAGTTAGAAAACTGAAACGACAGATTTAGCAATTTTCCATTTATAAAGGGGCATAACTCAAGAACGGTAAAAGTGACACAACCCAATTTCAAACTTGATCTGTGTTTTGTGGTAATAAGCATTGTGTATAAGTTTCATAACATTTGGTTGAGGCAAAGTAAAGTTAGTGAACAGAAACGAAAAATTCAGGAATTTGTATGTTTATAAAGGGGCATAACTCATGAATGATAAAAGTGACGCCACCCAATTTCGAACTTGATCTGTGTTTTGTGGTTATAAGCATTGTGTATAAGTTTTATAACATTTGGTTGAGGCAAACTAAAGTTAGAGAACGGAAACAAAAAAATTAGCAATTTTTATGTTTATAAAGGGGCATAACTCATGAACGGTAAAAGTGACACCACCCAATTTCGAACTTGATCTGTGTTTTGTGGAAATAAGCATTGTGTATAAGTTTTATAACATTTGATTGAGGCAAACCAAAGTTAAAGAACGGAGACCAATTTACAGGACGGACATTTGGGACGTTCGGGACGGACGGACAAAGGTAACACTTAATGCTCCCTCTGCTACGGTGGGGGCATAATTAACAGAATCATAAATTATATATATTATAGTTTATATATGACTTTCTCTACATAGTACTTCTAAAATGTATAACCTTCTTTAGATGAGTTGATTCCCCTTACTGCAAGTTTTTTTGAAAGGACTAGAAATAAATTTTTCAGATCTATTGTTATGGTGTATTTAGAACTGTCTTCCACATCATTGAACTAGATATAAGCTGTTTGGATATTATATGTACTAGAATGATTTATCTCTTGTTTTCTTATTTCAGGTAGTTGTAGCATTAAAGGAGATAAGAAATTGATACTTAATACAGGCACACTGAAATAAAAATGGAAAAAATTATCTCATCAACATCAGAAACTAAATCAGGACCTTAACAAAATTGTTTAAATCTACATCCGCTTCGATTTAGAAATCTATTCAATTGAAAAGAAAAGATTTGTATAGAGGTCAGAATCCATTGGGACACAAGTTAAGCATGGATCAGTAAGTTCACTCTCTTGATGAATGTGTGTGACCATAGAGCCATAAACGACAGGTTTGGATCAAAGTTGTGAATAGATGTAGTTTTATGGAATGTATAAAATGGTGGTAATATTTGATGATTCTTTGAGATGTCATCTGTGAAATCTTTCTGACTGAACTGGTGTTAATAAATAAAGATTGAATCTGATAATGTTCACATGTAGATTGACTTGGCTATTCAGTAAGACGGAAACAACAAATACGTGCTAAGCCAAAGATTATAGTATTTAAATCTATAGTAATGAACAGATGAATCATTAATAGTTTTGTTCGAGCAAATATTAATTGAAACAACAAAATGGCTTCTACCTGTTTGACCGTATGTTTTGGGATTTACATAGTATTTTCGTTAATTCTCCATGTTGGTGAAGTTGTATTAAATGCAATGTTTGTGGTACATTTATATGATGATAGCACTAAAAGAACGTGGTTTACAATCATGCTGGGACTGATGCTGTTACCAATGGTAACAGTCCAGTTAGTGTCTGCTTTACTACTGCTCCATAAAAGAGGAGAACATTTGACAACATTTCAAGCTTTCGGAACAGCAATGCTTCATGTGTTTCAGCTGGGATTTGTGTGGCGACACATTCGCTTGATAACAGAAGATGAAATAAAATGGAAGAAACGTGATCTAGCAGACTTGTGCATATTAAGACTGTTTTATACGTTTTCAGCCAGTTTGCCTATATTTGGAATGCAAGTGTATTTAATAGTGAAATATAACTTGTTTGACTGGCTGATCATTTCTGCTACAATTGTTACAATGTGCGCTATTGGCTGGGCCTTAGCTAGTTACAGAAGACAAAATGAAGCTGATATAGCAGAAGGCACAGTCTTAACTTTTCCTGGAACAATTTTTCGTCTGATCTGGAGATTTGGAGAAATAATTTCCAGAATTTTATCATTAATTGTTTTTGCATCACTATACAAATCATGGATCTTTATTGTGATTTTGCTCCACTGGTTAACAATGATGGTTTGTATTTTTACCTCTGTGTTTGGATTTTTTGAATTAGTTGGAGTAAGTCGAGTCCACCGATTTTTCCTCAGCACACTCATTGCTTACATTTACATATTTTGTTACATTAATTTCAACAGCCAGAGAACGCAGTGGAGATATATTACTTTCTATATAATTATGTTCCTAGAAAATGCCGTACTTTTGATTGTGTGGTATTTAAGTGCAGTAGACGATAATTCATTGAGAACATATACTATCATATTCATTGCATGTGTCACATTTGTCATAGGCATTGTCTCAATGATAATGTATTATCGCTTCTTCCACATTCCTGCCAAAAAATTATTTGCAGATGGGAAAGACAACGTTTGTGTGCAAGACTCCTGCATTAACTGCAAACTCAGTCTCTGCAATAAGCACAGTAAATATTTTCAGAGACCTTTCAGTGCTGGCTGGGTAAGTCAGTACCAGAAGGCTTTGTATCAGGGAAATTATTATAAAAATATGCAGGACTCATTACTTGACTCAATGTCTGAATGGGAGGCAATATCATCAAGCTCAGACTCAGCATCTGAAGGCAGAAAAAATTCAAAACGTGAAAAATCTGTGACTTTTCATTCAGCAGGGACATACAGTCATAAGAGATTTTTACCCAAATCGGGAATATCTGATTCCGATTCCGATTCAACATCAATGACAAGTCGACAAAACATTCAGTCTTCAAGTGATTCTGAAGTGAGTGACACCGTGAATCCATTATCATGTGAAAATACAAGTCAAACACAGCTACTGACTGATAGCTGGGAAAAATTAATTGAAAGTAAAGACAATATTATCAATGAAAAAGTTCAAAATCTGCAATCTTTTCGACCAATTAGTGCTCAGAACTTAGAGGATTGGTATTCAGATGGATACAGTACCGATCATTCATCCTCAGACTTTCAGTTACCCATTACAGTGCTTGCCAAACTTAACAAGTGTCGTATATCTGTAGCATCAGACTCAACTCAGTGTACCATGTGTAAACATCTCAAAATTAATCGTAAGAGATCAAAAACATTCTCACGATCATCTCAGGAAAAAATCATAGAGGAAAATTATGAACTAGAATCAAATCCCATAGTGTTAGAAACTCCAAGAAGTGCTGCATGGTATAATTGTAGTGAATCTGGAGATAGTGCATTTCCACAGGAAACAATCAGTACCACATGTCCCAGTAACATTGAGTCTGATGAGGACGGGATTAGTGAGACAAGTTTTGAGATGATCATTTAATTATACACTTCCATTTATTCATGTACTAATGGCCTTGTACAACATATTATAGATATTGTGGTACAATAACTCTTCTGCCTGAACCAGTCACTACCAAATGTAAATCAAGAAATTATTGATTCTTTTTGCATTGCTGAAATGGCATGGAATCTGATTCACTAATTTCTAGATGCACATTTTGTAAATACTTGTAGCAGAATTATAAATTTAAATTTTCTTCAATGGTATATATATATTATCAAAAGTTATTGCTTTTATGAATGGAATTTTCCAAATACTTCCAAAAATCTCAATTGAAAGGTAGAAAATTGATGTTAATAATGAAGTTATATTCCTTTTTTTCCTGTTAATTTAATTAATCATAAAATTAATTGGAAAATAAGAATAAAGTTATAACTATTTTGTTTTACTATGTATGGTATTTAGGTTAATTTGGTACAGATGCATAATTATGTTCGAGATATTTTTCTCACATGTATGGAACAGTATTCTTTTGTGGAAATTGAAATATTTAAAATTTGATGTATGATAAAACACAATGTTTATATTTATCGCTCGGCATGACCAAATCTAATAAATCTGCTCTGCCTTCTAATTTGATATATATTTTACATCTTTGATATACACAAAAAGTTTTCTCAGAGTATAATAGATAATTTATTTCAATCAATTTTATATTTTTTTAATTTCAATTTCTTTTTAAGTTATCTGCAGGTGTTTGACATATCAAAATAAGAAAAATTTACGATCCAGTTATAAATATTAAACTTTCAAACGAAATGGATATTAAAGCAGTTCTTTAATAAGAAATGTTTGTAATTTAAAAACATAAAAGAATACAATATATGGACCATATTACCATAAATGGTATAGATATTTATACAGCATTCACACTTCATCTCAGGGAAATCTGGCAAATTTATTTATTAACAAAAGCTGAGCATTTTTAATTGAAATGAAAAATTTTATTATTTCTTTCTTTGTACTAGTTGTTTGTTAATATATGATTGTTAAAGTTTATAATACAACATATTTTTATGGATACCAAGGCACACACTGCATTTAATATCTGTATAGTGTATACCTCAGTTTATAATACTACACTTGTTTATGGATACCCAGGCACAAAATGCATTTTATATGTCTGTATACCTCAGGATTAATAATAAAATTGTTATAATTAACTTTTATTTATTCATGAGCAAACCAGTGAAAAGTAAGCAGTTTTTAATATATGAAGATATGGGAAAGAAGCTCATTTTGCATCGCTTCCCTACATGAATTGATTTATAGGCGTCTAATTTATGGATATTAAATTTTGTGTTTTTTCTTTTGGTTTAAATTTCATTAATTGACTTTTTCCGTAAAATCCAGGAAAAGGTACGATGGTTATGATAACTTCACAACTGATACTTGGAAATCATGGTAGTAGAAGAAGCTGCACTTATAGGCTGTTCATTATCATAAAAAAAATATCATTCCGTTTTCCATAATGAGCAAATGTTAGAATCACAGCTGAATTTCTCTTGCATTCAAAAGTTCTCGTAATCATAATTAGTACTATTTATGCTCTTATAAAAGGCTATCACTTTATCAATAGATGCTGTTGTTAGGCTATCATATCAGTGGGTACTCTTGTGAGGTAAAACTAAATGTGTCAAAAGATGATCTGATATCAGTACAAATTAACTATAGATGAACTTTTTCAGCCAATGAAATTGAATATCCATGAAATATTTGCCACTGGCCTTCAAATCAAGCAACAATCAATAAATCATAAGCCAGCATATTCTCAAATTTGGATAAAACCAGCATTCTTTCAATTACACGTACAAGACAAAGTCATGTGACTCAGATATTTTGAAAATAGATATGCTTCAGTTTACATCAGTACTACATCAACTTAACTGATTCAATGTACAATACAAGTAACATGTGGTCAGTTAATACCTGGTCATTTTCTTGGTAACAAAGATATGGACATTAACATAAAACTTAATCATATCAATCTGGTCCAGTTATTGACAAAGTTTGTCATATTTAATATCTAACTGACAAACATGAACTTGCTACCGTAAAATATGGTCTAGTTTTGATCAAACATTTTGACAAGCTGTTTAACAAATTTCAGTAACTAAAGTAACAAGTGATTGATATAATTGTTCCAATACACAGCTTGTTCATGTCATCAGACAGTTCATCAATTAAGAGGCTTTAGTATAAGGGTGCAGTCAAGAAGAACATTAACAATTTATCAAAGGAAAAAAGATGTGTATTGCTGTTCTTCATCTTCTTCAAATTTCCACTTTTCAAAGACCAGAGTAATAAAACCTGCCATATGGTAAGTAATACCAAATCTGTATAAACCTGCCGCAAGTGATATTCAATATTATGAAGACTTTTTGCTAAAAGAAAACTGAAGTTACATCATGAAACCACCAATTTTACTGATTGTCCATTTTTAAGGCCTCAAATCTGGAAAGAAATATTAAAAAGTAAGACTAGATTTTTGGTCACATAATATACTAAAAGTTGATTTTGCCTATAAAGCTATACAAAATATAGACCTATAACTGGTAACTGAAACAAGAGCGTACACACTGAAATATCTTGCCTGTTTTACTTATGATTGAATTTATGTTGAAATTCTGTTTTATGAAGATTTACTACAAGTACCATATAAAATTAATATTATCGCTGATCCATGAAAATAAGGTCAAGGTCAGATTAACCATGCCAGACAGACATGTACACCTTACAATCAATCTATACACCAAATATAGTGGTCCTATTGCTTATAGTACCTGAAGAACAGTCGAAACCAAAAAAAACTTAACATCGACCAATGAACCATAAAAATGAGGTCAAGGTCATATGAACCCTGCTAGACAGACATGTACATCTTACAATCATTACATACACCAAATATAATTGACCTATTGATTAAAGTATCTGAGAAACTGACAAAAGTTGAAAAATTAACATTAACCAATGAACCATGAAAATGAGGTCAATTAATTCAGTGGTTGTCGTTGTTTCATGTCTGTCATATTTGTTTTTCATTAATTGTTTTGTTATAAATTAGGTCATTAGTTTTCTCAATTGAATTGTTTCATATTTTTCGTGTCGGGGCCTTTTATAGCCGACTATATGGTATGGGTTTTTCTCATTGTTGAAGGCCATACGGTTGCCTATAATTGCTTACATCCACTTTATTTGAACTTTGGTGGATAGTTGTCTCATTGGCAATCAGACCTCATCTCCTTATTTTTATATCAAGGTTATATGAAACCTGCCAGACAGACATGTACACCTTACAATCATTCCATACACTACATATACTGGTAGTGGCCCTATTTCTTATAGTATCTGAGAAAAAGACCAAACTACGAAAACTAAACATTGTCCAATGAACCATGAAAAAGAGGTCAAGGTCAGATGAAATCTGCCAGTTGGACATGTACACCTTACAATCATTCCATAAACCAAATATTTGACCTATTGCTTATAGTATCAGAGATATGGACTTGACCACAAAAACTTAATATTGATCATTGATTCATGAAATAAGGTTGAGGTTAAGTGAACCCTGGCTGACAGACATGTAGACATTGCAAGGAACCCATATACCAAATATAGTTATCCTATTACTCATAATAAGGGAGTATTTCACATGACAAAAAAACTATTTTTTTTTCAAGTAGTCACTAAACCAAAATGAGGTCAAGGACAATGGACATATGCCAGACAGAAACTTCGTCACATAAGGTATCTGTATACAAGGTATGAAGCATCCAGGTCTTCTACCTTTTGCAATATAAAGCTTTATACAAATAGTTTATGTTGTCGCCGCCTCAGCCACCAGATTTTAATACCTATGTCTCGCATTCTGCAACTTTTGTTGCAGGCGAGACAAAAATCACTTGATAAAAATAAATGCTGTGACTGAACCATGAAAATAAGGTCATGGACAACAAAGATGTGCCAGAACAAAACTTCAGGCCATAAGGCAGCTGTATACAAGAAATGTATATAGCCATTTTACCTTTTAAGATATATAGCTTTATACATTAGTTTATGCCTATTGCACCTGTTAAAGAATAAGCATCCCTATACCTATTTATTGCAAGCAAGACAACAAAAACCATCAACTTCAAATTATATCAATTTTACTTTTCATAATGTCTTGCATGTTTGACTAATAATAACTTAAATTGTTTGTTGAATCTCTTTGAGATCAATGTCTTACTACAGGTACTACAGGTATCGGAAAACATAATAGTGATAAATGAACCACAAAAAAATGAAATGAAGGACAGGCAAATCCTGTCTGACTGACAGGTACAACTACAATAATTATATAGGCCAACTATTAAGATGACCTATTACTCATAGTTAATGAAAAGATCAGGTGATTGAAAAATTGCAGTAAAAGACCTACGAAAATGAAGTCGAGGAAAATTGATATATGGCGGACTGTAATATTAGATATGTATACAAGACATGGATTCTCCATCTCCTATAAGGCCTGAAATATAAAGCTTTATACAAATAAGACACTAAGGTAACTTTGAATTAATAGAATCCCTATTTTAGACATTTTTATTGCCTCAAAATTCTAACTATTTTAACATCATTACTCCATAATCTTATCAAAAGTTAAATTGTTATGCAAATACAGAGGAAAGATACACACGCAAAAGTGAGATAAAAAAAAGTACACAAAGACAAAAAAATAAAGGGACCCTTGACTGTTATTGTAACCTCAGAAATGCTAACATTTTTTTTTCCATTTCTTTCAATGTTGTGATCATAACAACTTCATATATGATAATTGAATTTGAAAATTTAGCCCCAATAATTTCTTTAAAGTCTTGCCCTTGTCCCTATGAAATATGTGTAATCATGCAGCTGCTGACAAGATAAAATGATAACTGATGATTACTTGAAATGCAGAGAAATAAATACTCATCCTGCTTGTGGCATGGGGATATATCAATTCATAAAACAATTGAAATGTGCTTAAGCAATATGTGATTATGAATAAGTGGATTTTCATAATATAAAAGCCAAGTGAACATTTTTGTAGTGTTTTTCTTTTTGTTAGTTGCCTAGATATTTTACAGTTCTAGTAATTTTAAAGTTCCATCTTTTTCAGTTATGTGGGATATTTATTTCTCAAGCACTACTTTATAATTTGATGGACAAGACTGAAGAGGTTTGTTATTAAACAAGGAAGAATGCATTGTTGTGTGATATGAACAGTTACCTGGACGTTAAGAATTTCTAATCAAGTTGTCACCTGTTTACCTTTGTAGGTGTATCTCTTAACACAAACTGGACAATTATATCGAAAAAATATCTAGATACTGTAAACAATCTGTTACAAAGTTTGCATGTTTACTGTAACATTTCTTATTAAATTTCACAGCAATTTGCTTAAGCATATAAACATAAACATACTTCAGGTCACTCAGGTGTCAGTTGTTATAAGGGAGATAACTCCAGAAATACTTCAAACCAAGAATTTTTTTAAAGTTTGACATATTTTTTAATGTAAGCCTTGTTATTAGAATGATAATATAGCTAAACACCCATTAAATGTGAGCACTGATGTAACATAACAAGAGGATGTCAAAATGACAGCAAACTGGGTTTCCCTTTTATCAGCATCATTGTTATACCAAATATTTTTATATTGTTGGGTTGAATGGAGGTGGTTGAGGGGATCTGCAAGAAAAATATAAATGACTTGAGTAAAGGTTGTTACATTATTTCCAGTCAGATTGTTCAATTGATTGTTTGCCTGACATCCTGCTGCAAGTATTTCATATATATATATAAGCCTAGATATTAATGTGGTATGAAGATTACCTGCTTTGTACTAGTCCAATACTTTGATTTAATTTAACAAGCTGACTTATACAAGATAATAGTCACAGGAAGACACATTTCCTTTCTTTGGACAAATTATTCTGACTCCAAATTGATCAGTCTTTGCTCTTACTCCTAACTGCTACATTTTTGGTTTCTATTCGAAGCAGCAAATACCATTTGTAAGTCTTGTTTTACACAAAAGAGGTGCTTTTTCAGTGTCAAAAAATGTTGTTACTAATCATAAACCAATTGAACAATTCACTAAAAATGTGGAAATAGTTGCATATCAAATGCATAAATGAACAAGTCATCTAGGGTATAACACTCAGTAGACCCCAAAACATCTTGCCCAAAGAAAATTTGCACTCTCCAAAAAAAATGTGGGTACAGGCCTAGGTCTGAAATTCAATTTATGTGTAATAGATTTATGCAGTGTCTTTTCATATGACAAACGACAGACTGCAAACGTTTCCCATTTTAAATTGTTAAAAACCAGTTTGTACAATACCAAAGATTCAAATTAACTGCTGCAACCATGATCATAGTCTAAGGATATGGATAGAATTTTAAAGACTTGCTTACATTTGCAAAATAGGACATCTAAAGTTTAATACAAATTGAAATTTAGGCACTGTCCATTCATATTCTGTGTTTGTTAGCAGCCTGAGTTTTCCTTCAGATCTACATAGTTTTTTTTCAACTTAACAATAAATAAATAAACTCTTTAAATAAAAAAAAAGACCAAATGACACAGAAATTAACAGCTATAGGTCACCGTACGGCCTTCAACTTGAGTCTGTCAAGGGTCTGCTTATAAAATCAGCAATAATTTGTAAAGTCCATGGTTTGGTATGGTAAGCCCAAAAAATCAAACAGATTTAAAATTAATCTAGAGGCTCTAAAGAGTCTGTGTCGCTCAACTGTATCTTATGTGCATCATCATCAATGGCCACTTTCAAACATTGTAGATTAGAATTTAATTCAGGACTTTGTTGATCTTGTATTGCTGATCATTTTTACTGTACAGTTTAAATCTGTATTTTTTCTGCATATATAGTTTTATCTTTATGTACTAAACTAAACTTTTTGCTCAAAGCCTATAAAATTCTGTAAAAATCTTCATTCTAGAGCAATAACTCCGGAAAGAAGTTGACCGACAATTTCTGTATTGTTGACCTCTATACAAAAAAAGTCATTTTTGCAGTCTTACTACTAGGGGAGACCATGTGGGTCTCGCACGGTCAGATGCTGTCTTAAGTTTCTATTGATATTGTGGTACATAGCTTTTACCAAAAACGAAGAAAAAGGATACAAAATGTACTGTAAGGGTGAAAACGACTAACGGGAATCCAATGACAATTTTGGCTATGCATTCCTTTTTGGAAATCATGTCTTGCTAATTATTTTTGCTGTTAAGTTTTTTTTTTACTACTATACGTTTTGCCAAAAATAGGTACAAATCATTAATAAAGGGCATTAACTCCTTGAAGTAGTCAATTGATAATTTCTGCCATGTTGACATATGTGTGATCGTTTCTGCTTTTCTCGTTTCTCTCTACCTATTCCAGTTTTCAAGATAATAGGCAAAAACGGAAAAAAAAAGTGGTAAAAATCATCATGTAAGGCCCAAAACTCCTACATGGAGTCGACTGACCAATTCAGTCATGTTGACTTATTTGAATATATAGTTTTGCTGATCATTATTGATATTTAAAGAAAGTTTTTCTCTTTCTTATCATAGCTTCAAAATAATAGGCAATAATGTCAAAGAGTGGTAAAAATCATCATTTAAGGCAACAACTCCCAAAATTTATCACCTGAAAATTTTTGATAAAATAGACAGTAGGTAAAAATTGACATTCTGATAATTTTCAGGTTTTTTCTAACTTTAACGTCTTCAAGACAATAGACATTTTCCCCGTTCATCTTGTAGCAGCGTCTGCCATGTTAGTCAGCAGGCAGGATCATATACATATCTTTTAATATCAATGGTGATTGTGGCCAACTTTGGATTTCAATTGGTCCAGTAGAAAATTCTAGGCAGTAAAAATTAACAAACAACAAAGGAGACAACAGATAATAGATGCCAAGAGTGATGGAAATAGCTCACACTAGCCCTTTGGACCAGTTGAGCTCAAAACATTTGCATAAATTCTGGTCCTGTAGAAGAATATGTGCAAGTTGGTTGAATTCTGTCAACCTTTTCATGTGAATTAACAAACTGATATAAGCAGGAATTGGTCTATGGTTTGGGTAACGAAAACCCAAAAACCAGTCAGATAAAAATTCTAAAAAGTTTGTGTACAACCTCATGTCCTGTAGAAGAATGTGTGCAAGTTTGGTTGAATTCTGTCATGCTGTTTTCATGGAGTTAGGGAGTTATAAAGTGTAATGCAGACGACACCAGACAACAGAATCTGGACATATGTCACAATAAGAGTGATATACTAGTCAGTATCATTTATTCTTTTTAGGAAAATACATTGCAAGATTCTACATTTAAAACTGGATTCACAAAAGCTATTAACTATAATGAAAATATTATCACAGTGCATTTATAATAATACTAACAAAATCATTCAAAAAATATCACATATCAAACATGCATTTATCTCCCCTTAGAGTTGTAAATTTGGTGTAATGAAATAAAATTAAATTGCAAAACGCAATAATTGAGGAATATTTATTGAAATTTAACAAAGACAACAGCATTAAAATGTCAAATAATATATAACAAAATTCAATTACTGTAAACTTAGAAATTATTGTGAGGTTTTTATTAATGCGAATAATAAGACTGAGTGAGTATCGCAATAATAAGAACTCGCATTCTTATATCTGATACATATATCTGTATGCAGATTTTCCTGACATCGCAATAATTAATCTCGCATTTTTGTCCAGTTTTCAAAAATCGCAATAATAAATGCACCCAATAATTTCTGAATTTACAGTATTTCATTCGTGAAAAAAAATAGGTCAGGAGCAAAAGTATTATTTGTGGGCTTCATTAAAACAGTTCTACACAAGGAATAATCTTTGAAAATTTAACACCAAAACATTTTGTATAACATATAACTATCAATGTATTTATACTTATACGAGTCTGTTTGACATATATTTATTTATTTATTGTTCCTAGTTTACTTCTCAAGCATTCTTAAAAGCCATTGCCCTAATGCATATATATTCTACACTCATACCAATATAATGGAAAAAAATTCTTTTAAACCTCGACAGAAACTAAAAGAGGAGGTTTCTTTTTTCCAACATGAGGTTTTCTTGAATTCACAGTAATGACAAAAATAATATAAATCAAAGCTTCTCACTGATAAAGATTAATTGTAAGAATATTTTCAAGAATGAATGGATTCATAAATACTCATATATCACAGTTAAACAAAACAATATCATGCATGAATCTGGCATAATTAAAGCTTTTATGAAAATAAATTATAAACTATAAATATTTGCTAGTACATATTTTACTATTATTCAGTGAAAATGGCAGTACTACTTAATTTGAAAGATTTATCAAAATAAGCAAATAAAAAAGACTTTTAGTAAAGGTAAAAGACAGGAAAAAAACTTGTTTACAATCAAGACAATAACATATTGTATCCTGAAATTCAATCAAAAGATAGATTGTGCAACAACAGAAAAGAGATGAAAAGTATTTCACATCATGACTAGAAGAAAAACTTGAGAAAAAAAATAAAGCTATGGAAGCTTGCAAATAAATTAACATAAAGAATGATTGCTTGAAACAGTTTGAAGATCTTAATATTTTTGCCATTCAGATTATGATATTCAAGAATTTATCTATAATATTAATAACGACTCAAATAAGCCATATTAATAGAGAAATTCATTCTACAGATAGCATTGAAGAAAACTTATAAATAAAGGGAGATAACAAATGAATATTTCAAATGTTAATATCTTCCATGTGGAGGTATTTTTCAGTATATATTAACAAGAACTGTTTAAAAAAATGTTTGGTATTGAAACCACAAATGCTCAGGTGAAAAATATAAATCTAAGGAAGCAAGCTCCTGTACCACAGCTATATTGATTTCAATACATTAATGAACTTAACAATCGTTTAAACATAAAATTCAAGTTGAACAGACCACTTGCAAGGTAATTGTTTAACACTGATTTACTGTGTAGCTACAAATACCTAAGGTCTTTTCTAAAGTGAATCATACTTCAATCAACAGCTGCGCCATGAGCGCATGATACGCCCGGCCTCTTGTGTGTGAATTTTTATGCAATAAGCATAAATAGTTTCTGACATATGGCGTGACATGCGAAAACCCCCTTTTTTTTTTACAAAAAACTCAATATCTCTAAAATAAAATTTTGAATCAAAACCAAAAAGTATACAGATCTTAAGATTAATATAACTAAGAAGTGTGTAAAGTTTTAAGCAATAACCATAAATCGTTTTTGAGATACGGTGCGACATGTGAAAAACCCCTCCCCCTTTTTTTACAAAATACTCAATAACTCAAAAATAAAATTTTGAATAATCACCAAAAAGTATACAGATCTTAAGGTTAATATAACTAAGAAGTGTGTAAAGTTTTAAGCAATAATCATAAATCGTTTTTGAGATACGGTGCTACATGTGAAAAACCCCTCCCCCTTTTTTAACGAAATACTCAATAACTCAAAAATAAAATTTTGAATAATCACCAAAAAGTATACAGATCTTAAGGTTAATATAACTAAGAAGTGTGTAAAGTTTTAAGCAATAATCATAAATCGTTTTTGAGATACGGTGCGACATGTGAAAAACCCCTCCCCCTTTTTTAACGAAATACTCAATAACTCAAAAATAAAATTTTGAATAATCACCAAAAAGTATACAGATCTTAAGGTTAATATAACTAAGAAGTGTGTAAAGTTTTAAGCAATAATCATAAATCGTTTTTGAGATACGGTGCGACATGTGAAAAACCCCTCCCCCTTTTTTAACGAAATACTCAATATCTCTAAAATAAAATTTTGAATCATCACCAAAAAGTATACAGATCTTAAGATTAATATAACTAAGAAGTGTGTAAAGTTTTAAGCAATAATCATAAACTGTTTTTGAGATACGGCGCGACATGTGAAAAAAAACACACACCTGTTTTAGTTACTAAGTCCCCTAAAAAGTTTTAATCTTATTTTCACCAAAAAGTATACAGATCGTTTGACCATCATAAGAAACAACTATGTTAAGTTTCATGAAATTTGGATAAGTCATTCTCAAGTTACGATGCGACATGTTTACGCCGGACAGACAGACGGACAGACAGACAGACGGACAGACAGACAGACAGACGGACAGACGGGCAGACGGACAGACAGACTGACAGACAGACAGACAGACGGACGGACGCCAGACATTTGTATACCATAATATGTCCCGTCAAAAATTTGACGGGCGTATAAAAACTGATCTATTCTTAATGTTTACAATGGAAGACATCCCTTCTGCAACTAACATAGTGGTCTTTCAAAACAATCGGTACCTCAGAACAGGTGAATTTTATAAAAACCACAGAGATGTAATTGTTATAAGTCCTAAAACGGGTGATTCTCATAAGAGAAGTTTAAATCGATTTGTTTAAATATCTGGTAGCTCTAGAAAATTCAAATTGAATATCATAGTTGCCAGCTAACAAAAATCAACTTATAACTTGAATGAGGGAAAGTTAAAGTCTCTCTTCATCATTATTTTTTTTTTTCACATTTAAAACAGCAAGTGAAATAAAATTTGAAGCCTACTGAAATGTTTGGTAAGCTGTACTTTTTATGATCATTTTCTTCCACTTTAAAATGAGGAAATTTCAACATATCAATAACGATTTTTTTAATTAAGTTCTTGTAAAAATGATAAAATGATGACATATATAAATACATAAAATATATTATAAAAGAAAAATATCACAAAGTAATAGAATATATGAAACATTTCTATACATAACATCTGGATACTACTGTACATGACAATATATCACATCTTTGTAATTGCCTGCAGTGTTTACATACTTTTACTCAAAAATATTTGGTTTGTTATAAAAATACAATAAAAAAAAATTTGCTTACACTTATATAATTTCAAAATATAACTTTTAAAATATTCAAACAGAATGTCAGTAACAGATATGGCACAATCAACCAGTTTAAAATGAATGAAAGAAATTAATATTTAAAAAGGGTTTCATAAGTATGGTCTTTCCATCTTGTTCCATTCATAATGAGACAAATTTTTTTAAACACTGTCTGAATGATTATTCCCATTGTTACCTGACAATCCAAGAGTTGAAGACATAACATTACATCAAAATTAACAAGTGTAAACATTTACAAAAATGCTGACTACATAAAAATAGCACTATCAATATTAAATATTATTACATAATTGAATCTTAAAATGAAAGACTAAACATGGTTTAAAATTATTGGATGGAATAGTAAAAATCTCAATAAATATCAAAATCATATCAGCTTAAATAGGTTATCACAGTGATTATAAATGGACGGTCTTTGTCATCAATAAGAGTAATTCATAAAACAACAACGAAATTAAATTGAGACTTCAGAATGGTCCCCTGTCTGTCACAGCAGTCAAGCTGCCTATTGTCAGAATGAATAAAAACACTACCAAAAAAAGTCTCAAAATGTATGAAGTGTTTTAAAGTTACTTTAAACAAGTCAATCTCTGAAGCCTCCATTCAACATCTAATAAATGTATCTTACACAAATAATATTTTTCTATTGGTAAAACATGCATCAACATTGTCCTGAGAATTAAAAACAGGGAAGTATCTTCTGTCATGCTGCTTGGTAAAATTTTGAAACTGAATTTTAAAAAGTACAAGTAAAAAAGTTCTTAAGATCATTCACACAATAAAAGTGAATAATAAAGCGATGATTGAATAATCTATAGCAATAAAAAGCAGCTGTTTTAAAATAATTGATAACAAAAAACTTAATAATCTGAAATGATCATACTGGTTCCAAGAATAACATTGCACTGCGTCAGGTACCAGTCGTTTTGTCATGATGCTTCCCCACGATAAAGTTTTGAGTAGCGCTGGCTCATTGTCTGGGTGTTAGGAGGAACTAATGATATTGGTTTCTCTCTACCTAGTCTGAAAAATAAAATGAAAAATGGTATTACTATTAAATATCATATAATACTGTGAATTCAAAAAATATTGTCTGTAACTTGCTTTTTCATAATTTTCACAAAATAAACATTTATAAGAAATTTACATGTAAAATTTGAAAGCAAAATAACCGGTTGGAGCTATTATTGTCAGAATTAATCGCATCACAGTCAATCTTAACTTCCACAGTGATAATAATAACCTCCAAATATACTCAAACAAGTTTTACCTCCAATCATAAACTAACAGAATATATCCAAACCTACAACTATACCAAAATATAATCAATGTTTACCTCCAAATATACTCAAACAGAGTCAATAGAAAAAACTAGAGTCGATGCTAAACTTGTATCCCATTAACCTTAAACAAAAAAAAGACTTGATGATTCCAAGACTTTGTCAATGTTAATCTCAGATTATATCTCAATGAAGTCAGAGTCAAACACAATTATACCTTAACTATGTCATAACTAGCCACCAAATGTACTTCAACAGAGCCAAGGTTAACTTCCAATTTTACCTCAGCTATGTCATAACTAGCCACCAACTATACTTCAACAGAGCCAAGGTTAACTTCCAATTATACCTCAACTATATCGTAACTAGCCACCAACTATATTTCAACAGAGCCAATCTTAAAGTCGAACTTTACCTCAATTAAGTTGTAACCAGCCACTAACTATACTTCAACAGAGCCAAGGTTAACTTCCAATTTTACCTCAACTATGTCATAACTAGCCATGAACTAAACTTCAACAGAGCCAAGGTTAACTTCCAATTTTACCACAACTAAGTTGTAACCAGCCACCAACTATATTTCAACAGAGCCAAGGTTAACTTCCAATTTTACCTCAATTAAGTTGTAACCAGGCACCAACTATACTTCAACAGAGCCAATGTTAAAGTCCAATAATTCCTCAACTAAGTTGTAACTAGCCACAATTATCTTGATGTGGCCTAATAAGCTCAGTTATAGTACATGAATGGTCATCATTTACAGTAAACAATCTATTTTATACACACAAACTTAAAATACATGGTGTTATTAAGAATATCACACACTAACACATATAAAAATGACATGCACATATTAGTTCCCAGCTAAAGCAATACTTCCTGTTAAATACATGCAATTGTTCACAAGTCCATAATATTCATTGAAGTCACTTTATTAATACTTGAGTTGTTATATTAACTACAGAAAATCAGGATAGAACCATGGAGACCTAAATGGTTAGGCCAAATTGCTCAATTTATTGAATCTCTGTTATTCCAATTCATACTGACCATGACAGAGACCTGCAGTCTATTACAATTGTGTGTATTACTTAACACTGCTTGTTTAGGTCAAATACATATGGCTTTCAATTTGTTAACTTCTCCCAGTGTACCTGGGTTTAGAAATAGGACCCCACGGACATCACGTCTTGTAACCACATCTTGATATGGGATTGGGGAGGGGTCTAGTCTGCTGTGAATGGTGTGCAAACATGGAATCACCTAAGTCAACATAAGAACTTTTTCATACAGATTGTTCATTTAAATTGTTTTCTTCTTCAAATAATCATTCCAGCCTTAATTTCATGGCACTATTTTTTCATTGTATACAAATTTCCAAAGAGTACCATAAGCCCATTGTTTTTAAATACATTTCCATCTAAAGTAATTAAAACCTAAGATTTTCTTCATTATGTAAAGAAAAAAAAGTCTAAGTCTCAGAAACAAAATGTTTTCCTAGTTGTCCCTTTCTCCCGAACTTTTGTACACGTGAATAAAGTCTCATAAAATCTACATAACATGATCTGTATGTGAACACAAAAAGAGATGCAAAAGCTCGGTGTGGAAACTGGAGAGCTGTTGATTACACGAAAGGAGAACCTTCCTTTGAAATTCTGATGAAAATTGGCTACACCATCTACAAAATTTGCAAAGAAATATAAAAGGCTTTGAATTGAGAACTGAAGGTTTTCGATTTAATTTGATTAAACAAAGCAGGATTCCAAAAGTTCCTTGCCTGTTGAACTAACAGTCATTTAACATGCTGTAAGTAGGATTTAAACTTCGTCCAACCTAGCAATTAACATTTTTTATCATAAGTCAATGTAATACAAAGCAGAAACAAACTCTTTTCTCACTCAAGCAATGAGCTTATCTCATTATTAATTAGCAGGATTTAAAACCACTCCCCACACATATATATATATACATCCAACATTAGTGCACATCATTAGTTAGTGTATAATATTCTTACATCACCTTTAATTACCCCGAAGGCTCAGTGTCTGAATGACTAGTGGTACTCTGTGATGTATTCTTTGCCTCTGCAGCAAACTGATATACAATGAGGAGACAATCCCTGCACAGTTGCACGATTCTACGACAACAGTTCATATCTGATTCGCTTATATTTTCTGTGCTCTTGCTGAATATTGTTTCCCAACCAGCTGGGCCACTGAAATCAACAAATTATTCCAGTATTCATTTTCACCAATATTTTTTCCATTTAATGATTTACAAAAGGGTTTAAAGAAAACTGTGTAGAAATTCTGGAAAATTCCTGTTTGAAATGTTTCTTAATCATATTCAAATACATCTTGTAGGTTGAGGTAACCCAGGTACATTTATTTCTTAAAATCTGAAAATTTTGAGATTATAAAACATATTCTTTTTGTTTCTTAGTTTTACGAATGTAAATGTAATCATTAATGAAAATTTTCAATTGTAATACATATACAAATAAAAGATTTTTTTTTTTTTTCAGATCAGGAAAGCAATTCCAGTCTATTTCAATGAAGATGACTTGAAAACTGATGAAATGACTAAGACTTAATATTCTGTAAATCTTGATATTAAAGGACTTTAGAATATACTTACTTGGAAGAAGAGAAGCAGTTCCAGAGCCCCTGTCCATGACTCCAGAGCAGACGACTGAATACACGACTAAATATTCTATAAATTCTGAGATTATCAACATCACTCACTCTCCATGTTCTCTGTAACACTGCTCTGACATTAGATCTTACAATGTCTATCACCTGTGGAAAATTTCAAAATATTATTTCAGTTTTATGAAATTTGAATATGATCTTATTGAGAAGTAATCCTTTTTATTAAATATCTTTAAATATTTTTTTCTTACAACTTTAATTTTTCCGTAATTCTATTTGATACATTTCTACATTAGTTTACTGTTATTTGTGGCTTCCAATTATCATTTCTTCATGGGTTTTTAAGTTTTGATTGAAAATATGCACTTTGTTCAGTACTGAATAACCATACAATGGACAACAACTATAATCCAAAGAATAAAAGTATTTTCACAGTACCTGAATTGCCTGAGATTTCATAAATAAGTATCAGAGATATGAAAAAACAACCAATTAAACAGCAACCAACAAATGCTTGACTTGTAAGATTTGCAGAATAAAAAGCACAATAAAATGCTTCGCTGAGCGCAGCCTGATACGACTGCAGATGTCGAACACTGAACAGTTTGGGCAAATTTGGACACAATATTCAAGCTTGATACTTTCTGAATTTGGATTGTGATCAAATTTTTGACATAATATAGGTTTCTGACACAAAATAAATGTGGTCAAAGATCTTACAAATCTATTGCGCAATACTGTGAAATTGAAGATTTCTTCTTGGAACATTTCAAAAATTCTAAATTTGAAAAATTTTGAAAAAAAAATATGAATCCCTTTTAAAAAATTGGAACCCCCCCCCCCCACACTTTTTGAAACCCCCCTTGGACCAATAACCCCAAAATTCAATCCCAGCCTTTCCTTTGTAGTATGGAACATTGTAGTACAATTTCAAAGAGATCCATACACTTACACACAAGTTATTGTCTGGAAACTAGAAAAATGCTTGTTTTTGGCCCTTTTTTGGCCCCTTATTCCTACATGTTTGGGGCAATTAACCCCAAACTCAATCACAGCTTTCCCTTTGTTATATGGAACCTTGTGGTACAATGTCAGAGAGATCCATACACTTACACACAAGTTATTGTCTGGAAACTAGAAAAATGCTTGTTTTTGGCCCCTTTTTGGCCCTTAATTCCTAAACTGTTGGCCCCATAACCCCTAAAATAAATCCCAACCTTCTACTTGTGGTATTAAACATTGTGGTACAATTTCAGAGCAACCGAAATAATTATACACAAGTTATTATCCTGAAACTAGAAAAATGCTTGTTTTGGGCCCTTTTGGGCCCCTAATTCCTAAACCATTGGGACCATTATCCCCAAAATCAATCCCAACCTTCCTTTTGTGGTATTAAACCTTCTTAAAAAAATTCATAGAGATCCATTCACTTAAACTAAAGTTATTGTCCGGAAACCAATGTGTCTTCGGACGATGACGCAGACGACGACAATGACATCATACCATTATACGATCCCAAAAATTTTTTTGCGGTCATATAAAAACAACTAATATAAAGACATAAGATTCAAAGTACCAAACTAATAGAACTCACACAGTACACATCAATAGATTTAGTGTAATATGTATATTTTGTGTATATTTCAAACCTGACAAAGGATGTTGTGCAAAGGTGACCTTATTTGTATTTAATAAAATTGAAATCAGGACATACCTTTCTCCGTTTTATAGAATCTAATTTCACTAGCCAATAAGAAGCAATCCTAGGTTTGTGAAATTTCCAACTTTCATGCAGCTGAAAAGAATGTTAAAATTTATGAAAATATCTTGACATAAACTAAAAGATTAAAAAATCACTCACCACATAACAGAGCCAAAAAGAAATAAAAAGAAAACAGAAATATAACCTACCACAAAACAACAGTTAATACCATTATAAAAACAATGAAGCATATTTTTTTTCTGAGCATAAAATATTTTTAATAAATTACTCATCAGAATACTATTGTTTTGTCATTCTGTCTTCTTATATGCCATTTTATTACAAAAACAATATTTTCCAAAAATTAAATCTACACATCACTTTCTATTAACTTAAAATTTCATTGTCCAAATCTCCACACTACTTTTTTTTATTAAAAAATCTACTCTTCTTTCCAAATACAGTCAAACTTGCTGTAAAGGTCACCTCTATTAAGCCTGTCTTGTCAGGTCACCCTCTTCTTGTCCTACTGTACTAATACTTTTGCATTTGAACCTCAATTCAAAGATCATCTCTCTATCAGGTCAGTTTTCTCTCGTCCTGAAAGTCACCTTTATATACAGGTTTGACTGTAGAAAACTCATTTGTAGAGAATTTAATTTGTACATTGCTTTTTGTATCACAACATCTATCTTGCCAAGAATCAAATCTTCTTCTACCTTCTTATCATTAAAACTATCTTGTCCAGAAACACACTAATTTTTAATGACAAGAATTACCTTGTCCAGAATCATTTCTGCCTCCTCATCAGACTTTCCAGGAAATTTGATCCTCATATCATTCAATGCTATCAATGTTTTCTTTGACAATTCATCTTCTCTTTCTTTCACTACACTTGTCAAAAATCCATCATCCTAAAAAAGTACATACATATATTTATATAAACATCTAACAATAAACCAAACAAGTGTTAAAATAAGATTCAGTCATGCCTCCAGTGGATCTTTAATAGCACTCATAGGGACTTGTGCAGCTAAAGTACCAATAGCAATATATATATAAATATACAAATCAAATGTAAGTTTGAACTAAATCATTAAGACAATAAACCGACAATTTAAAAAAAGAAGAAAGAATATAATTTCATGACTTTAATGATGCAAAGTTCATACCATTTGTGAACTAAAGTGACAATGACGTCATCTTTGGTGACCTTCACCTGACACAACAACTAAAAACACTTACAACTGTAGATCTCTGTAATGATGTATATTTCCCACTTGTCACCATTCTTGATAATGATCTTGACCTTTGATTTGATTGATTTGACATTGACATATTACTGGGTGGCCTTGACCTGACACCAGAATTAGGACGAGAGTTGTATGTACTTGATGCTCCCTCACTCCACTCACTCTGTTCTCGAACCATTGACCCTGGTCTGGACCTGGCAGATGGTCTTCTGGTCATAGGTGTTGTCATTGGTGAACCTTCAGTCATTTCATCGTCATCTTCCTCTGAGTCATCAATAGGACTTGGCTGACAGACTGGCATACTTTGTAAAGGCTAAATTCAAACAAATAACAGATATCAGTAGTGCTTGGCTAATAAAGCAAGTATACATTGTAAAGGCTTAAATTTAACAAATAGTATATATCAGTAATACTTGGCTCATAAAGCAGGCATACTTTGTGGAGGCTAAAATTTGATTACAGATGAGTATACAAAAGTCAACCAAGAAAAAACAACAGGATTTGGCAAAACAAACAAGTATGGTTTCATGTCTATTACATTTATATTCAATCTTGGGATAACTTCCCTTTTTTACCAGTTTGTTTGTTTAATGAAATTATAATATTTGAATTATTTGCCCGATTCATACTTTATTTCCTGCCCTGTTATCCAACAAATATCTTGATGTGCCCCATGATTGTCTAAATTTTAATATCTATATGTATGCCTCCATTCCTTAGTTACCTACCTTAGGACCTCTAGCAACACCTTTGCCTCCTCCTGGATACTTGCCATCTTTTTCATATTCTTCACATTCATGTAACATATCTAGAACATCTTCTTCCTATAAAAACATCATATTGCAAAATAAATCTACAATACATAAAAGAAGAATGTGTCTGTGTGCCACCGCTCAAGATTGGTTTTCAAACAAAAATGAAACAGACAGAACAACAGAAGGACCAAAAGATGGAATGACAAACGGTCAAGGGTAACACCTAATGACCCCATTGCCTTGCGGCGGGTTGATAACATTAAATATTTCGATAAAAAAAAACAAAATTCTGATTTACGATGTTTTCAACAACACAATGTCAATACCTTTGGTGAATAATCTGCTATGTCTACAAATATTTTTTTTTAAAGTTAACTTTTTAGTTAGTCAGGAAGAATAAACACATATAGAGTTTTTCAATCTAAAAGAAATACAAATCCTGTGTCCACACTTTGCTTAAAAGAATCTAAAAATACTCCATTTTACTCTCTGTTTTCTCCTCTGGTTTTGTTGTAATGATAAGCACCTTCAAAATTTTGAGGGGAGAAATTTCATTGGCTGATTAGAAGAACAGAAAGTAGAACTGAGTGTTGTCAGATCGTTGTAAGCAAAGCTTGAACAAAGGATCAGATTGATAGTTTTTGGACTTGAATTAGATTCAATACTTTTGGCTATTTTAAATTTTTATACAAATGTGGATAAACAATTCTAATTAATTATTTCGGCTAATTGTGATTTTGGTGCCTGGAGAGCATCCAAAGAACCATTTATAGCCTAAAAGACATTGTTACTTATGTGTGTTATAATCTAACTTATCAGCAGCAAATTCATTGGGACATTGGCAAGATTTCTAACACAATATAAATCTTTTCAGAAGATATCTTCTGATCAAATTCTTATTGACTTCTATTTTTGCCTTCACTTTTCAAACGAACATACCCTGAGTGGATTTTTGTAAATTCTCTGGATCTCTTTCTGCATGGCAGGTGCTCTCCCTGACATGAAGATGTTGAAGATAGATGACATTAATCTGACATATTTCTCCTGCCGAGCCTTGTCTTCCGTTGGAAATATTCTGCGGAATTTTCCCATATTCCTGTTGTCATAATCTTCTCTCAAACTTTGCTTCTTTATCCTGGCTAACAACTCTCTCTATTATATAGAAAGAAAACATACATGAACATCAGGCAATCTAGGAATATACTACAGGATTAAATGTGCATTTCATAATTAAAAGATTAAACATACAACACAACTCCAAAGAGCTTTATAATAAATAGCTGTAAGAACCAGTTTAGACCAATGTCTTAAAAAAACAACAAAAAAACATACCCATACATACAAAGAACATGTGTATATGGTCAGCAAGAGGTTAGCTGTTACAGTCAACAAACAATTTACTTCTACTGCTAGACCAACAGATATAAGTCTGGCCTGTATGTAATATTGATAGTATACAGCAAATGTTGAAATTAAAATGGCAGTCCTTTAACATGCAAACTATGCAAAACATTCAGAGTCAAAGAACTGTGGAAATGACTGAGGGGAGGGTGAATTGATCTCGATGGAAATGAGATGTGCCAATGTTAATACAAATGCATACCAAACATATCATTGACTTACCAAAAGTGGTTCCTTGTAAACTGAACTAATCACAGACTTAACAATGTAAACAAAGTAAAAGTTACAAAGTCAAAAGACCACGACAAGGGGCAGGGCCAAATAATCTCCATGGAAATGAGATGTGTCAAGGCCATTACAAATAAATAAATGCTAAATATCATTGGCTTACCCCTTAAACTAACCTAATCACTTACTTGTTGAGGCAGAACAAAAATGAAAACACTTGAACAGATGGTTTTTCTGTTTGATATTATAACTGACAGATTAAACCAGTTTGTGACATAATGAACGTTCTTTTTATATCAAAAAGTCAACAGAAATCAAAAACTTTTATAAAAGTCATTAATTCGTACTTAAACCATTGTGGTGACGTCAGCCTATTCATTTACCATGGATTCTTTTTCTAGAATCAACGCTTCCTAAATCTGCCGCTGAAATGGACTCACCAAATTATATTCAATTGTTTCCTTTGTGTGTCTAATTTCATTAGGTTTGAATTGGCTAATTTACTGATTTCTGTTCATTAATGGAATTAATTTAAAAACTTACCTTTAATTTTTGTTATTTGTATATGCCTTCACTGGGAATCGAACCCTTCCTTGAAATCTGTTATGAATGACTGACATCAACACATCGACGAAACCTCTCGGCTACCAATGGGTTACAACTTAGATGTCTATTTTATATATATAAATGAACATCGGACACACAGGGGTTGTACCTTTATATATACATAATGGGCAGTCGTATAGTATAAGTTGGTAGCCGCGAGGTTAGCATGTTTAAAATTAACGAGTTAAACGATAGGGATTTGTCGGTTTAGGTTCGAATCCCTGTATTATCTCTGTTGTCCCAATTGTGTTTTTTTTCTAATTTTGGATATTTTTGTAATAATAGCTAGTTTTACCGTTTATTCTTTGGATTATTATTGGCTATTTCACGTTTGAAACAAAAATGATTACATTCTATTTGTCAATTTTTGTTGTATAAATATAGTATGATTTCATCTGTTTTACTACATAATTTTACAAATGTTTGTTCGCAAATTCCTATGCGAGAAAATCGTGATGTGCCTAGAGTGCTAGAAATTTCGGTAACATACTTATTATATATACTTTATATATGCTCTTTGGTCGGGTTGTTGTCTCTTTGACACATTCCCCATTTCCATATTCTATTTTATTAGAAATAAGTTCGAAAATGTCTTATTTTGTAAAAACAGATAATATTCAGATGCCTGATAATATAAAGATCTTTAAAGGTAGAAGTGTTATATTTGTATTTTGTTAACCAATTAATTGTGATCTGAGATTTATCAATGCATCGTTGGACACAATAACATGGTTATTTAAACTCACTTACAATACCTTCTAATTAAGAAAAGGCTTTAATTTTGAAAAGAAATTAACACAATAGTTTAAGTTATAGATACAATGGATAAGCGTAGATTCATGAAAAACAAACCATTCGCCCTCCGGGCTCATGGTTTCTTTTTCAAGAATCCACGCTTATCCATTGTATCTATATAACAGAATACATATTCTAATATATCACAATACAAATAAATTCAATGCTTTCCAAGTATTTCTTATAGCATATCTTATTATATCCTTTCTTTTTTCAAACGATGCTTCATTACAATATTCTTATGACATCAAAATTAATGTACTGTGAAAGTAGTTTTATTCATGGGTATCAATTTCATGGTTTGAGCAAAAGTTACATGTTCGTGGGTTCTTAAATTCGTGGGTCTTAGTTTTCTGAAAAAAATTGAGTGAAGAATTTGAAGCCATCAGAAACAAAGATTCTTGAAAAAAATCATATGTTGTTTTATAATGATTTGTGACACGTTGCAAAATACGGTGTTTATTTTCACTTACTTGTTTGTCTCTAATTACTGACAACATTCATCAAATTGTTCATAAAATAATTGCTTTCAGAAATAATAATTAAGCAGATTCATCTATGCTCACAAAATGTGTCTCGATTGAAGGAAATTGCAAAATAAACATTTTAATTGTTGGACACACGTAAATCAGAAATGATGACACCCATTTACCGGAGATCGAATGATCAACAGATTAACCATCATCAAAGGTGTTAATTGGGCCATAAACATGTCACTTAAGAAAAAGGTAATATATAAAAAAGCTACAAATGTACTTAGAATTGTAGAATCCATTCTTATGAAATAGAAAAGCAAAGCCCTAATATTAAATTATTATTTGTTTGTCATATGTGAATTATGAGGAGATAAATGAACATTTCATCATCGCATATCCTCACCGGTGTATTCTCTAGATGATATGCCTGTATCCATGTAGTAATACCTACATGGAACATTTCCATGTCTTGATTTGGACAACAGTTGTTATATTTCGTCGGACACTTAAAATCGTGGACAAAACCATGAAAATTGGTACCTCATGAATAAAAGTAATTTCACAGAATTTTATCAAACTATTTATGAATGAAAATTTTGCAATAACTTTATTATAAACTGACTGATGAACAATAGGCAGATCAGATATATCAATAATCCCTTATAGACAGGTCAGATATATTGATATTTTTTTATATTCAGGCCAGATACTTCAATAGTTCTTTACAGACATGCCAAATATATTCATTATTCCTCATAGACAGGCCAGATATATGGATAATTTCTTATACAGGCCTGATTTATTGATAATTTCTAAAAGAAAGGCCAGGTATATTGATAATTTCTAAAAGACAGGTCCAATATATTGCTTATTCTTTAAAGACCGGTAAGGGCTATTCCATTAAAATGTATGTGGGAGGGTAGGAAGGGAAGTTTAATTATTGAATGTTGGTCATGGGTCTTTTTTCAGTATGCGTCTATTACCATTATGCAAAATTATCTAAATAAACTGTTAACACAGAGATATGTCTTGCCTATTTGTTATTTTGATAATGCAAATGTTGAAATTAAAATAACAGTACTTTAACATGTAAGTTATACAAATATTCAGTCAATGAACCATGACTAAAGGTACAGGGCTAAACAATCTCCATGGAAATGAGATGTGCCAATGCTAATACAACTGCATACCAAATACCATTGACTTTTCACACAAACATTAACTTGTAAACTAAGCAAAAGTTTCAAAGTCAATAGACCATGATTGAAAGGGTGGGGCCAAATAATCTCCATGGAAATGAGATATGCCAGTGCTTATACAACTGCATACCAAATATCATTGACCTACCACTCGTGGTTCCCCATAAACTGACCTAATCACAAACTAATACATGAAAACTAAGCAAAAGTTTCAAAGTCAATAGACCATGACTGAAGGGGCGGGGCCAAATAATCTCCATGAAAAATGAGATGTGCCAATGCTTATACAATTGCATATCAAATATCATTGACCTACCACTAGTGGTTCCCCATAAACTGACCTAATCACAAACTAATACATGTAAACTAAGCAAAGTTTCAAAGTCAATAGACCTTGACTGAGGGAGCGGGGCCAAATAATCTCCAAATATATCGATAATTCCTTATAGACAGAACAGATCTACCTATTATAATTCCTAATAGACAGGCCAGATATATCAACAATTCCATATATAGACAGGCTGGATATATCAATTATTGCTTATAGACTGGTGAGATATATCAAAAATTCCTTATAGACAGGAGATTATCAAATTTTGCTTGTAGACAGGTCAGATATATCAATAATTCATTATAGACAGGGCAGATATATCGATAATTCCTTATAGACAGAGTGGATATCTCATGAATTCCTTAGAGACAGGACAGATATATCAATAATCCCTAATAGACAGGTCAGATTTATCGATAATTACTTATAGACAGGCCAAATAGAGCTATTATTCCTTATAAACAGGTCAGACAAATTGATAATTCCCTACAGACAGGTAAGATATATCAATAATCATTATAGACAGGTCAGATAGATCAATAATTCCTTATAGACAGGTCAGATATATCAAGAGTTCCTTATAGAGAGATCAGATATATCAACAATTCCTTATAGACAACTTACCAGTTCTTCTTTCCTTTTTTCAATGTGAATCCTTCGCTTCTCGTATTCTGACACATCTGGAGCATCTGGTCTTTTACCCGTACGATACAAACGTTTCTGTGCTTCCTGTTTCTGAGCATTAATATTCCTTCTTTTGTCACTAACCCTAAAATAAAATAAATAATTTAAACCATGAAATATATTTTAAAAAAGTAAAAATTTACAATGAAATGTGTCATGAGACAAACAGTATGGGTACTAAACTACCAAGACATAAAGACTTTATCTGGTAGTGACATGATACGATTACAGCTGATCTATTAGAATCTGTACTTCATAAAATTAGAATTTGTTTGTTTATGAGTTGAACCATGAATCATTTATTTCAAACTATTGTAAATGTGGTAACAAACAGTTCAAAGAGGTTTTTTGTTATCTTTTTCTTTTGACCTACTACATGATTTGATTGGCTATGGATAGGTATTACTTCTCTTTATTTGGTGGCTGTCTCCTTTATGTATACCCTACATCTCCTTTCATTAATATTGAAATCTGTAAGCAAATGCTCATGAATTCTAACCCTTTCTCCCCATGTTCCTAGATCAGACAAATCAACGTTTGCTATGAAGACCTCAATAAATTGCTTTGTATAAAAAATAAAACATGAGGCAAATAATGCCATATGGTATTAGAGCATCTGTATAATGTTTATTAAATTCCAGTCAGTTCTTTTGGAGGAGTTGAAAGATACAAGAAGCATACATTTTGACATGGGAACCCAATACATGTATAATCATTTGGTTCAAAATAAAATAGGTTCCTAATTTCATGCAGGATAAATGAGTCAGGAGCCTGTAATTCAGTGGTTGTCATTTGTTGCTGTATATCATATTTGTTTTTTTTTCTTCATTATTTTTTACCTAAATCAGGCTGTTAGTTTTCTCGTTTGAATTGTTTTACATTTGTCATTTCAGGACCTTTAATAGCTGACTATGTGGTATAGGTTTTACTCATTATTGAAGGCTGTACAGTGCCCTATAGTTGTTAATTTCTGTGGCATTTGGTCTCTTGTGGAGAGTTGTCTCATTGGCAATCATACCACATCTTCTTATTTTTATATAGACAACACAATCATTATACACCTGCTTCAGGTAGATCAGAATAAATGCAGCTAGTACCATATACTCTTTCACTTACTTGATATTAAGCAGTTTAATGGTATTTTCTATCAATGCAGATTTTATATCCCAGTCAATTTTTTCATCTGTTCCAAAACTAGGTGATCTGTTAATCTGTAAAGAGTAAAAACATATAAATAAAGACATAGGCTAGCCTTCCTTAATGTGATTTTCTAAATTCCAACCCCTGGCATCTGCCTTTCAAACATAATTTTTACATTTTATTTAATTTGTTTTCCAAATTTTCAGAATTTCTTTATAGTTATACAGGAATATAAGGTTTATTGCAATTACCAAATACACTAGACAAAATTTATTGTTGACACAGTTAATGAGAAGGGTCAGTTAACACCAGAATGATTCAAACATTAAACTTTAAAAAAAAACATTTTCCTTAACATTTAAGCAGTCACCACATTTGGCCACAGTCACCACATTTGGCCACAGTCACCACACTTGGCCATAGTCACACCATACCAGGCTTGTTAAACTTCTAATGGGCCTGGAAACATTTCTATTACAGGCCAAATTGAATCTATACAAAATTTTTCATAAAATGAGAATCAGGCCTATTGCTTCAAAAGTTTGTTGTGACGACTGCTAAGCTAATGTTTTGCTTTTATTTAAGTCTAACCCCAATATAAAAATAAGAAGATGTGGTATGATTGCAAGTGCATTCTCGAGAAGTCCTGGGCAACGGGCAGTAGGAATTTTTAGAACTTGTAAAAATTCAAATTAAACCGATTACACTGTATGCAAAATTAAATCCATGATAAAAACAGGTACCAGTATTTCAGAAATAATGTATTTTAAATGTTGTATATGTTTACAATATTTACCACTTCCTCTTCTGAATGAGAAAATAATCCCTGTCCTACCTGTTATTATACCATTTATTGAATGTATACAGATTTATGGTTTTAATTTGAACTTATTTTGAAGCACTGATGGGAAAATCATTGCTATAGGAAAACATTTAAAATAATTCACTTTGTAGATGTAACTTAACAGGATTTCACAGCTTTGTTAAATTTTCAAAGCCTAATTAAGTTGTGAATTATCTTTTTTACATTTTAATTTTTGCCACATCAATCACTATTATAAGTATTGGTGTAGAAAATATCAGTTTACAATGAGAAGTTAAATGAAGATGTGAGTCTTAAAGAAAAATTGTCTATCCATAACTAAACTGTAAACCAAAAAATGTTTTTTACCTTTATCCCAATTTTTTTTAAATCAAACCGACAAAAACTTACTTCTAACAACCATGGTTTTAAGTTCCTATCCAACAAAACATCAAATCCTAGCACCTCAAAACATACACTATCACTCCCTGACGGAGCACATGGCCGACACATCCTGTAGGCGTGTAATAAATGTGGCATCGATACAAGCAATGTTTTGACTATCATGTCTGAGATATTTCTCCACATTAATGCCACATCTCTGTCCTTGTTACGTAGATATTCGTTAAGAAATGCAATAGATCGTTTACTTCCTGAATCCACCGATTCACCTTTCTCGTAGTACTCATTATGTTTGTTCACAGAATAATTTGTAAGGTGCATATACATATGGTTCTGAAAAAAAGAAGACGATTTCTTGTTTGAATTTCTAACATGATGAACTACACATGATACATGTACTAGAGATAGCAAATAATCTTTTTATTTCTACACATAATAATTTTCTTTATTACAGACCCAGAAATGTGCTGTTGCTTTTGTGTGCTGTGCTAATTTTAAGTTGTTGAAATCAATATGACAATGAAGCCTATATCTATGCATTACAAACTGAAGCTGCCTAATTGGTAAACTTAAAGAGCTTGTCTTTCAATTTGGAATAAAATTCTGAAAACACAGTCATGCCTTTTACTTTCCATTTAAAATATATTTGAACAATGCTTAAAAAATATTTCTTAGCATCAGTTATGTCAAATTTAGAATACATTTTCCTAATATTACAATATCTGATGTCTGTAGTTTAATTTAGAAAGACTTTGGCATTTCTCTATACTGTTATGTTAAAGAAATGCAGAAATGATTTTACTACTTGTACTGTAAAAAGTTAGTTTGAAAAATTACCTTTGACATTTCTTTGTTTTAATGTGTCCAGTAATTTTTCCTACTTACAATGTTAGATTCCGCTGGGTTTTGGTACTTTTCTGTACTCATTCTAACCAATCCATCATTGAATAAAAACACACGTAAAGGATCACATGAGGTTATCAGAACGTAGATACGCAGGTCAAACTTATAACCATCTAACAGAAAGGGTTTCTCTATATATTCCTGTACAATAAAATGTTCTGTTGCTGGGATCTTCTCAGCATTTTTAAACAGCTGAATTCTAAAATGAAAAACATGATATATATAAATAGAGCTTGATTATTGATTAAAATCTAATAAACTAAAATTAGTAATGACTATCATTTATTCTTTTTTATATTTAAGTCTAAACCCTTCATCTATCAATCCATTCTCTTGCAGATGGTCAGTTTTTTTTTAATAAATAGCTCTTGTTACAATCTGATTAGATTTATCCACTTAAAACAAAATTGGACTCGGTTGCAAAAGAAATGGGATTGTAATATTGCTCCAAATTCCAAATTTGAGTTAGATACAATTAAAATACTTCGACTCAATAAAAAATTATATGTAACTATCCATTTTAATTTGTGATGTATTAAAGTTAATTATATGTTTATATGTATCTCTCTTAGTGCATGTCTCCAGATTTTGCTTGTGATGTGATACATGATAGACGCTTTTATTTGAGCTTTCAAGGGAAAAAAACTGTACTGGTACATTGAAAGTCATGGTAAAATACAGCTACCTCTATGCCACCCCTGTGCAAAAACTCCTTGTAGTTGGAACGGGGACCCAATTATTTTCCTCATTACTTCAATGCAATTTTATCCAAATTGAGGGGCAGATTTTTTATTCCCTATATTAGACTGCAAAATTTCAATTACTTTCTCATACTAGTAGTCCCTTTCATTATTTCTGGGAGAATTCTTGAAAGGTCATGACCGTCATTTAATTGAGCAATACTGCTATGAGTATTAAAATAGGTTCATTTTATTAACTTCCTAATTAAAATCGAAAATAAAATTTGGACTATTTACTCGTACCATCATTCACCCTATACATTTCAGAATCACTTAAAATTTAACAGAAGTTGAAAGTTTAATGAATACCCTTTAAATATACTACAATTTTAAGCATCTTTACATAATTTCCATCTCAGTACAATATCCCATTTAAAAGATGGTAGATTTATTAAGGAACTTCATTCATGGGTACTGGACTGGTATCCTGTAACTGGGATCCCATTCCAGTTAAGTAATGAAACTTGACCTCATTATTCAGTACTAGGCCAAGGACATGGTCATTCAGTACTATTCCACAGTTTTTTTATTTGTTGGTTTTACAGAATTTTCAAATTTTGAAAGTTTGAGTGTCTTTGCCAAAATTTTTTTTTTATAAAACATAATTGTGTATTGCTTTACTGTGTTTTTAAACTTTATTAAAATGAGGATTGTTGTGTTTTTTGTCATCCTCTAGTAAAATTTTAATCAAAAACATTTTTGATAGGCTTAATGTCATCATGATGTTGAGGATCATGTTAAAAAAGAAAATTGAACTATTAAAGACATCTCCTGTAAATTATGCATATACGATAGGGAACATTGAAGGTCATCATGAAAATGTCACAAATCTTTTTCCCGTTGTTACAAAAACATTGGGTTTTGCATTTGTAATAGCCCTAGTCACAAAAAAAATATAAACTGTTATTTTAATTTTTGGCCCTGCTCTCAATGAGGTCATATGCTTTCCTAACAACAATCGCTGAAGAAGAAGATGCTGGTTTATCAAGGTGGAGCAAAATGACAGAAGAATTTGTTAAAGAAATATAGAACAATAAAATAAAATCTGACATTGACAATAATATTCAAGGACAATAGTTAGGAACAATTGTAATAATGAAAATATTTCAGTGGATGAAATGAGAATGCATGTATCTTTCAGGAAATATTTTTTTTAATATAAGCATTTCTTAAATATAAATAAGGGATAAATAGATTATAACATGCCCTTTTCAATATCGGCCCTCATATCATCCTGTGTCCCATATGAGCCCCTGGCATGCTCCCACGGGTCCTATGGGAGTCTCAGGATGATACCAGGACTTATCTTGAAAAAGGACATGTATTAATCTAAAATCATACAATATTTTACACTGTTGCTGCTGCTAGCATCTCTGTAATGTTTGGGCTGACTTTGTCTCTTGTTTAAATAACTATTGGTAATACATACCCATGCCCTTGTGCACCATTGGAAGGTTTGATGATAAATGTTTTAGACTTCTTTTTACTTTTCAGGTCTTTGGAATAATTAACCAATTGACTATAATCTGAAGGTAGGATCCAAGACTTTGGAATAAAGCTATATTCCTCTGGAAATTCTTTGGACACCCTGTAATATATCATAATATAACATTTAAAAACAAATTAATTTCTAGAGTACCTGTTCAGTACAAGAGCATCTGGGGGTTATTGAGACAATGATGACTTGTTAATGAAAAAAACATTAAAATGACAATTAAGCCTTAAAAATTAACATGAGTTTACCTCTTATTTCCCCCAAAATGTACCATTTCTATAAATCATTATGACATGGATGGTATTCATAATAGAAAGACAAACCATCTGTTTTCTACATGTACACCCTGAAAAGAGTATCAATTGAATCGGCATTCAAACTAAAATATGATGACGTTAACAAAGTCAATCTGCATGTCTAGTAGCCTTTATTGGATAGTACAATAAAAATATGTACAATCAACAATGAATTTACTGTAGTGACCAATATAGCAACCAAAGAAATTAAAATGAAAGTGATGAGCAAAAATCAAAGGTACATTTCTTGTCCAACTAGGCCTGATAATCAAATAGATGTTATCAGAGCAATAATGCCTATCAGGAATCATGCACTTTTTGATAAGTTTAAATAATAGCGCAAAAATGAAACAGCAGAAGATTGGGGAGCATAACTTACAATGAAATAAATGATAAATTTGTCATCTGTGAAATGATTCCTTAATTAAAATGAATATAATCATCAACAATCATAATCATAACAATTTTCCAGAATAAGAATTAGGAGAATGCAGACAACACATGACTAACTCTTTCCTTATGTGAATATGAAAAAAATATTGCCAAAACTAAATATTCCTAGTCATTGGAATAATAAATTGTATTTTGCATAAAAGAGGATTATAAAAGCCAATAACAGTCCCATGAAATTGTAAAAATCTTACATGATGTAAGTCTACTTATTTTTCTCAGCTGGCAATAGCCTTTTTTAAATAAGAATTGATCATTAAATGAGTAAAGTTTATTTATCTGTGTATAATCATGGCAGTATAATGCCATCATTGATCTTCTGACTTTGTTTTAACCTTGTAAGTATCCAATAATCAATAGGTATCTATAAGACCTGAAGTTTTATTTCGTCTCAATATACTATACAAGCAAAACAGATAAAAAAGGATACATTTTCACCAAGAAAATTACCATTTTATTACGTTTAAACAAACAAAAACAAATAAGCTTAATGCATCTGAACATAATTTATAAAAATAAAAAGGGTGAGCTATTTTTATTTCACCAATTTACATAACATAATTTGTTTTAAATTTATTTTTTGTCAAAGTTTTACTTCTCATCATATAATAAATTGTACCACATTTTCTGCCTATTTTTACAATAAAGGCATGTTTTAAATCTTGTACTGGTTTACACTTTTGCTTACTTTAACATATTACGAGCTAAGCAATCTTTTCTGGTTATTTCACCCATTCCAGGAAAATGATTGATTCTTTGAAATGGTTTTAACTCGTTGATCCGTTCAGCTGATACAAATGAATCATTCCATATCAAGTATCTGAAAATAAAGAGAATAAAAACTTCAGTCACTCAGTTTATAGCCAATATCAAAACCTGAACAGCAAATATAACTTTCGTCTGAAAATACTGTCTAAACATTTTATCTTAAGGATGTTTGCTCCTCTTGTTTTTGAATTTTTGCCAGATTTTCGGAATCCTCTTGTTTTATCCATGTATTGCCATTAAAAAAATTTGCCCACTAACCCCTTCTTTTTTTTTCATAATTTTATTAAATATAGTTTAAAAAGCCATTTTTGAAAGTCTTATAAAATCCTTGTTATTTTTTCATAGTTTTTGAAACAAAAAAGTGACCAACGTTAAAAGAACGAAAAATCTAGAGAGAATCGTTTCCCGCCAAATTTTCAATGGCTTATAACTCGAAAACAAGCTCACGGACCCTTCATTTTTTTCTGCTTTTTTAGTTCCTTTATTTATATACTATCATTTTAGAATAGTCTTTTAAAAAGCTTGTTATTTTGAAACAGAGTAGCAAACATCCTTAATGTAGAAAAAAAAATGTTTTTTTGTTGGTTTTGTAACCAATGTTAGGTTTGGGTAAACTTCCATGGATAATTCTGTTGGTTTTGTAACCAATGTTAGGTTTGGGTAAACTTCCATGGATATTTTTGTTGGTTTTGTAACCAATGTTAGGTTGGGGTAAACTTCCATGGATATTTTTGTTGGTTTTGTAACCAATGTTAGGTTGGGGTAAACTTCCATGGATATTTTTGTTGGTTTTGTAACCAATGTTAGGTTGGGGTGAACTTCCATGGATATTTTTGTTGATAAATAGTGTTCACATTGGTTTCTATATATGTCTAATTGAAGAAGTGATGATTTTAATATTACTAAAAATTCTTACCTAAGAAATAAATGAAAAATAAATCTGAAAAAATAGACCAAAACAAACTGCTGTAATTTGATCCTGTTTTGCAAAGGGGTTATCAGTTAATTTCAAAACTATGAAATGAATTCCTTTAATTGAACTGTTTGAAATCTGAATTCCTAAAGTATACACCTACCCATTAGGATCATCATCTTTTGAGGGTGTAAAACCAAGTTTTTCTGCCATCTGACGAACTAAAAATTAAGTAAGTATAAAATGTAATACATGTACCATGAATATTCATTTACATAAATGATCAATGATAATTATGTTACAGTACAATTTTCAATCATGTAGTTCCAAAACTCAATGCGGTTCTTTCTGTGTAAAAAAAACAAACCTTACAGGACTACTTATTAAATCTGGGCAATATTCCAGGGAGAAAGGGATACAGCTTATTACTGATCTGAAACCTGAGCTATAGTAGTTAAATAATAGATTGATTGTTGTTTTCTTATCATCCAGTTGCAAGTATTTCATGCATATTCAGGATGAGTGTGCCTAAATGAAATGAAATAGATAATTTGGGGAAAATGCTCATAAAACATGATTAGATGTGCAAGTAAAAACATTAAGCAAGAAAGTGCAGTGATTATTCCAATTCTGTATGTTGAAACTGCAGGTGATTTAACCATTCAATCTTTTACCATACTCAGTAGTGCATATCCATATTTCTGTAATGCTAATATAATTCTGTCACAACCCTATACTTTCTGATATTCTGTTTTTTTCCTAAACACAAGAAGGAAATATCTCTACTTACTGACTTCATATCTTGTTCCACTTAAATTAACAACAATAGGGTTTTTCTTTTTCCGCTTTTTCTTTGGTGAACTGGCACTTTTTGGCCTGTCACTCTCAGTGAATTCCACATGTTTGTTGTCACTGCGACGATTGGCTTGACCAGCGACAGTATCCAACTTCCTGGCATAGCTGGTAAGGCTAGATAATGACACATCTGAAAAAGAAAGGATCATATTTCAAGCAATTGAAAAGCATTTCAATTTTACGGAAACAATCATGATGGTTTAAGGACAAATTATTGACTTTTCTAATTGCTTCAAACATCCAAATAGTAAATAGTTCAAAACGAATTTCAATATGCAATTTTTAAAAACTGCTTTCTCTTCTGTACTAAAGCTCAGCAAGAATTGTCATTAGGAAGACACATTTTAATGATGATACCACTAAATGCTCTACCAAAATCTTATTACATTCAAATCAACAAACATCTAAAAATCTGAAACGTTTTATTTTTCTCCCACCAACAATCAACCTTATAAGATGCATGTATCTTGATACATGTAAATCAAAATATTTTTAGGAATACAAATACCTGTATTTAATTTTGTTAATGTAATGAAATGAAATGTTTTGAATAAGTTTCTGTAAGATCAATTAATGTATCATGCATCACAAAACCATATTATAATATTGTACCATGCAGTTATAGTCTGGTAGTGCTAAATGACAAGAATTGACAGCAAATATAACAGTCAGTTGGGCTATACCCCACAATTTGATGTTTACAGTGCATTCTATACAAAATAATCACAAATGTGCCAATTTATTAAAAAAAAATTATTAACTGTTGCTTGTATAAAAGCCATACCTTTATACTGGCATGATCAGATCACAAAAGGAAAGGATTTGTTAGGAATGGGTTTGGGGTGGATTCAAACAATGATTCTTCCAGTCAAGTACTCCCCTAGTTCACTCAGTATTAGTAACATGAAAGTTAACACATCATCAATGAATTATAAATGAATTATCAATGAATGAAATGAATATAAACAAGAAAACAAACAATTAAAGGATCAGACATCAAACGTTCCAAAGCCTGAATCCCTGAATCAGCACATTATTTCTCCATTCAAAATAAATCACATAGGATAACCATACACCACTGATAATACCTTCTACAGGAGATAGCTGGTTCCATACATCAAACACTGTGGTTCTGACTAAATTACAACATGTAACATTTCTAGTTTAAGTAAACAAGTCATTTGCATACAACATGTTTTGTTTTAGTTTGTTGTTGAAGTGCTGAGGAGCATTTTTGCCTAAAGTCTTTCACTTTTCTCTAAGTCAGTTTTATTTGAGTGGTAAACCAATAACTTTAACAGAACAAACATTCTTCAAGTCTATTATTGCTAATATTTACAATGTTTTCTCCCTGTACATATTCTATAGGCAAATTTTTAAGCAGAAATGAAAGAAAGGAAAAATATTGGACAGAGTTCATGTATTTATTTCTATAGAAAATACAAAGAAATTTTTAACATTAAGCTTGTCCAAAATTGCTGAAGGAAATCAAAAGATCAGAAATCAAAATTAGTGTGGCAAATATTTGTCATGGAGAAAAAAATATTTGAATACCAACCTGAGGACCACATCCATAAACTGTGGTCCTAAGTAACCTCTCCAAAATATTATCTTGTATTTTTATTGACACCTTTTTATAAGGTTCAAACAAATACAATTACGGCTTAATCAAGACATTTAAAGTTCAATACTGTATCAATAACTTGAAACATGTAAGTACTGGTTATAAAATCAATGGTAAATTTCTATTCACCTGAAAACCTTTTAAAAGATAGATACTTTGTAGAATAATTTGAAAGGAAAATCTGTGTCAAAACACTTACTTAATACTCAGGGTTATGTAGGCAGTTCAACTGTTTTATATTTACTTTTCATAAGCTTTGACAGTGTCTAACTTCCTATTATATTACAACTGACAAATTCTACTCCTGCACGGTTTCAAAACTTTTTTTTAATTTCATTATTGATTAAAAAATTGTTTAAAAGTATCAATGACATATATTGAGTACATTTGGTCTCTTTTTTTAAATAAAAATTTTAAAATGTAAGATGTAGGATTAATGTGTCAAAATGAAAATAAGAAAGAAAATTTTCTTGGGATACTAAATTAGCATGATTATATATATTTTTTTATGTAAAAAGGATGTGTTATCCAAATTGATCAAAGCTCTTATGTATATGGCAATCTTCGTAATACTAGTAATGAGCAAATTACTTGAATAGCTTCTATAGTAAGTCACACCAGAGAAACGAGTCAAAAATAAAAAAAATAAACATGTAAATGAATTATTTTTAGATTCTATCATTAACCATTTGAAGGCATTGTCCTAGATTATGATTTTCTGCAGTGTTCATGAAACTACTGTATGAAATCTACTGGGAGGTACATGGCTGATATTAGAGTGTAAGAAGGAATGATTTATTTATCAGCAGACTAAATACTGTTACTTTATATTCTTATTTAGTTCATTACCTTACCAGTTCTAAAAAGACTGAACATTTTGAAAAAATTAACCAATCAATGAATTAAGTCAAAAGTGTGGGAAACTTATCAGGAGACATGTAATAAAACTTTTATAATGCAGACATAATAACTAATTCATTAGAATTGTTTCAGTGCTTACTTATAGATTAAAGGAAAGATACAGGAAGAAATCCATAGTTGTCAGACAGTTTTTCTGAAACTTAACTAATAATTTTCACTTGTGAAAAAAATGTTTTCTAAGGAAAGTATCTCCATCTGCTTTATTTACCTGAGAGGGTTGGGAGGTAGATCATGCCCTGGTAATAACTCATATAAACAAACTAAAATGATATAGCAAGCTATCCTACCCAGTGTTACCTCAGCTTACAAATATTGCCTGTTCCTCAACCGTATTGTCTCGTATCAGGACAATTTCATTTACAAACTCAATGATGAGCTTTTTAAAAATCAAAGTGATCGAAATCACTGGTGGAAAGATTGGAAAAGTTGTGTGCATAATTTCAACCCCTTTTTAGTCTAGCCACTGAGTTATGGTAGTGAAAAAATGGCATGATAATATACTGTGGAATCATTTTTTTAGTTTACTTATTTTTGTTGATTGAGGGAAAATTGTATTTTCATGGATGTCTGATTTCCTAGTTCTGCCAAAGTCTGCAGACTACGATAAACATTTGATTGTGACTCATCTATACCCTAGAAATCCAGGAAAAATTGGTACTCCTAGAATTGGTACCCCTAGAATTGGTACCCCTAGAATAATAATGAATCCACAGTACCACAGTTGTATGTAATTGCATTTTTAATACTGACATTTTTATCAATTAATTATGTTTAACGCCACTTTTTAGCACCATTGGCTATATCTTGGTGCGATTTTTTTGTAAGCAGAGGAAGCCAAGAGTGCCAGAACAAAACCATTGACCTTCAGCAGGAAAACAGACAATCCTAGTCAATAAAGATTGGAGTCACCTGCAGGGTAAGAACAGACAATCCTAGTCAATAAAGATTGGAGTCGAAAGCACCTGCAGGATAAGAACAGACAATCCTAGTCAATAAAGATTGGAGTCCAAGGCACCTGCAGGGTAAGAACTGACAACCTCAGTGTTGACAGGATATAGTGATAGATGAACTATTTAGACCACACAGCCACCTATGCGTCTCCGCCATTTTTGAGAAAGATAAGCAATTTTTCAGAAGATAAAAATGGGCCGAATGTCTATCAATTTCAGTAGGTCACTAAATTTGCATACATGTAGTATTTTAAAATTAATAAAAAATCAATATTTTTCCTATCGACCTCACAATGTTAACTGTAGATCATATGTTAACTTTCCAATATTTTGGAATACTGAGAGTTGTATGAGTGTTTGTTGTCCTCTATTTGTCTTTTGGTTATTTTTGTCAATGGGGTATACCCTATCTCTCCTTTTATTCATATATATAACATTATGGACCTTTAAAAAATTGTTTTTGTTGGTACCAAACTTCTATTAAAGCTATTAAACTTATGGATTTCTTTGAGTAAATTGGTACTAAAGAGTTTGGATTAGACATACAGTATAAATTCTTGTATGTTCTGTAAGGAAATACATAAACTGTTGCTAGTATACATTTGTAGCAATTAAAAAGTCATACTGACAACCCACAATAGATTTAAAAGTAATATTTAAAAAGCTTTTTATAACTTTGATTCTTTATGCTGTGATGATAACTTTTTAAGATCACCAAAAGAACAAGAATATGTTAATTTATTCATAATAAGTGCTTTGTACAATATTCTCTGATTAATATCTATCATTTTCTTCTTTTCACAGTATAAAATTATTTATTGTGCTGTAGTAGGTAAAAAATAACTATGTTGAACTTCTGTGTTTTAAGTATCTTGAAATTACATTTTAGTTATTTTGAGATGATCTAAACAAAATAAACATAGGGTTTCTTTGAACACGACAATTCAATAATGGAATGTAAACATAAAAATTAACTCAGCCTTTTGATGTTTTGCAAGGAAGCTTCTTAAATGATTTGTTTTTAGTGTTGTTCAAGAAAGTGTGACTATTATTTCTCAACACATCCTTAGATGAAAGTTTTCCAATAAATAATTAATCCATCTTAGAGCTCTGCAGACTATGCTGGCCTGAAACCATAGATAATAGTGTATGGCTTGTTGCAATTTGAAACATACTGCATATTAACTTATTTTTTAAGATACTTTATTTAGCCCATAGCCCTTTCTAGTCTACTTACTGCTCTTATAGTATTTCAATAAATTACAAGGGTGACCTTGATTCACTAGATTCCAAACTCATCAAATATCCCAAGGTCACTGAAGATAATAGATTACTTCAATTTAATGAAGGTTAAATTTCAACATATGCATTGGCTGGGACATAACCCTTATAGAATATTATAGACTTTGTATGATGCAAAGTTATCTTTGTAAATGATACAAGGATATATGGTCTTATGATGATGATGGGTCATTATTTCAGTGACTTTGACCTTTGACCATTATGGTCAAGACACTTTATGATCTAGGGTAACACTTCATTAAGCATGATTTAGATACACAAAGGCAGTTCAAAGGTTTGAACTGAAACTGTTTTCAATGCATGTGTCATAGACAATAACTACAAGTAGTAGACACAGTTGCACTACAAAGTTACAGCAAGAGTACGAAACAGGGGATGTATAAACATATACAGATAACAGGATTCTGATATATACCCCTTAGTTTTTTTTTAAGAGGGACATGAAAGGTACAAGAGTAAAATAACATTTCAAGTAAACAATCTTAACAGTTCCTTTCATTGAAATTATATACTATTAACAATTTGCAAGGTGAATCGGTCAGTTGTTGATAAATTGTGTGTATCAGACAGTGAAGCCATTACATCATGTGTTACTCTGAATTATAATACAGTAATTTCATTTTAAAACAGTGAACCAATGTTATATCATGCTATAACCAATCAGAATTCATCTTTCTTCATCAGAACCAAATTAGGCCTTTATACAACAGATTAACATACCTTGTCTGTCTGCCAAGGAACTGAGTGATCCACTTTGTTTAATACTTGGCATAGTTATGTTCACTTTTCAGAACCTGAAAATACATAAATATAAGATCTAAATATGTACATGAAATCTTCATTTACTATTGAAGTTCAAAATGTATAACTTCAAATATTGTATGTTGCCCTCTAGATGTCTTTTTGTTATATTATTTGTTAGGTTGCTGTCATGGAATCGAGCAACAACGAAAATAAAGGCATCTGAACAAAATAATTTTTGAACAATCACATGGTCTGTTATGGAACCCTAAAAGCTTTATCAAATATTGTTGCTCAACCTATGTTATGTCAACATAAAATTAATCAAAGCACTGTAAGCGCTGTAGGCAGTTAACCAAAAACCAAGGCAAACGTAATTATGAAAACTGTGGCAATGTTGCTTCAATTTTTTTTTAAAGATTTAAAAGAACAAACATTAAACATTCATATATTGTACATTTATGTTTATTTAATGAATTAATTATTAAGGCAAATAATTTATATTTTATCAAGGTTTTTAAACGCATATATCAATGTATATTTTTAATGGTGAGTCTGCAGTGGTACAAGTTCGCAAAGATTGCAGTTGTTCTAGTTGGTAGTTAACATTGGTATTAGTTGACTGTTAGTAGTACAAGTTGACTTAGTACGAGCTTGTAATAGTATGAATGGACTTGCTTCCCTGGAAAGAAAACTGAGTTTGTGTTCTACAGTACAAAAGTTATGAGACACAAATCAGACAAATGTTTACTACTACAGGGATCAAAGGTGAGGTCTGACTGACCTGCCCATAGTAAATGTAAATGACTCCCACCTTCACCCCAAGTCCATGATGTCTAAGTTTGGAATAAAATGACAGGTGATTATAAAACAGTTGGTCAAACATTCTTGGGCTTGAAAGATTTATATATGTTTTCTTTAAAATGAGCCATAAATGGAATATTTTTAAAGGACCAGAAATAATTCAAAATATAATTAGGTAAATTCTTTAAACCTACTCATTTTTTGCATCAATAAAATTTTATGATAAACAAGAAATAATTGTAACAGGATGCTGTTACAAAGTCTCCCAAACAAAGCACCCATAATTATTCCTTCCCATGGTCGCCTGACATTGGGCAAAGTCTAGTACACATTGGTTAGGTCTAGTAAAGTGATATGCATATGTGACACATCGGAGATTGACCTTGTATGTCATTCAAATCATTTTGAAATGACGAACAAGAATAAATATGGTTTAGGAGTTGGTATCTCAACCGTTTACAAGTTCTCAAACACACACAGGAGGGGGTGGGGTGACCCTAGGGACTACCCCTATATTTCATTTGATTTTTTATATTGTCCCATACATGAATATATATGGTTTAGGGGTGGGGATCTCGACCGTTTTCAAATTCTCAAACAGGAGGGGGTGGGGTGACCCCAGGGACTTCCACTATATTTTATTTGATTTGTTATATAGTCCCATACATGAGTATATATGGTTTAGGGGTAGGGATCTCGACCGTTTCCAAGTTCTCAAACATGGGGGGGGGTTGACCCCAAGGACTCCCCCTATATTTCATTTGATTTGTTATATTGTACAATACATGAATATATATGGTTTAGGGGTTGGGAACTCATTCGATTCCAAGTTATCAAACAGGAGGGGGTAGGGTGACCCCATGGACTCCCCCTTTATTTCATTTGATTAGTTATATTGTCCCATACATGAATTTATATGGTTTAGGGGTGGGGATCTCGACTGTTTCCAAGTTCATAAACAGGAGGGGTGGGGTGACCACAGGGACTCCCCCTATATTGCATTTGATTTGTTATATAGTCCCATACATGAGTATATGAGTATATGGTTTAGGGATGGGGATCTTGACCGTTTCCAAGTTCTCAAACAGGGGGGACCGCAAGGACTTCCCCTACATTTCATTTGATTTGTTATATTGTACAATTCATGAATATATATGGTTTATGGGTGAGGATCTCGACTGTTTCCAAGTTCTCTAATAGAAGGGGTGGAGTGACCCCAGGGACTCCCCTATATTTCATTTGATTAGTTATATAGTCCCGTACATGAATATATATGGTTTAGGGTTGGGGATCTCATCCATTTCCAAGTTATCAAACAGGAAGGGGTAGAAAGGCCCCAAGGACTCCACCTATAGTTCATATGATTTGTTATATTGTCCCATACATGAATATATATGATTAAGGGGTGGGGATCTCGACTGCTTCAAAGTTCCCTAACAGAAGGGGGTTGGGTGACCCCAGAGACTCCCCCTATATTTCATTTGATTAGTTATATTGTCCCATACATGAATAAATATGGTTTAGGGGTGGGGATCTCGTCTGTTTCCAAGTTCTCAAACATGGGGAAAAGGGGGGGGGGGGGGGGGGGGGGGGGGGTTGACTACAGGGACTCCCCCTATAATTCATTTGATTTGTTATATTGTCCCATGCATGAATATATATGGTTTAGGGGCGGGGATATCGACCGTTTACTAGAAAAAAGCTCATTTTCAAATTGAAGGGGGTTGGGATGACCCCCAGGGACTCATCCTATATTTTAATTGATTTGTTTTATTGTCCTGTTCTCATTACTAAAGACCATGTGTGTCTATCACTTACTGTTTTCGAAATAATAGTCATTTGCAAATTAAAAAAAACCAAAATAAACATTGGGTTCTACAGTAAACCCCTCCCTTCTTTAGGCCCCTTAAAATACCCCCAAATAGATCCCAATGCACAAACGAAAGATTGATGGCTCCGCTAGACATGTTAGTCTAACATTTTATGAAACCCTAAGTAAATCTGACAAGCGGTCCGTATTGTCTTCTAAGACGGTCCGACTTGTCTCGGGGACGAGTTGTCCCCATTTATTAAAACATCCCATCAACGTCGATTTGATCCGGATCTTTTTCATTCTTAATAACAAGTGTAAACATCGAATGTTGGTGCATTACTTGACAAGGTCATTTATGTGAAAAACGGAGTAATTTAAAAGAATGAAATTCAAATGTGAATACACAATTTATCAACACTCATCTCAAACAAAAGGAATATCATGATTAACAATAATAACCTTTCTATCATCAGAATCCTCCAAATTTAAAAGATACGAAAATTTCGTCTTCTAAATTATTTGAAATTGCCGCCAACAGTTGAACTTATTAATAGACTACTGACGTAGTTGTACTACGTATTGATGACAAACAATATTCCTACGACTTTTGCCATTTGGGAAATCTAAACTACTTGTCTTTAGAGATTTTTGGCGATTAAATATTTCATACAATTGTTCTTTGACATCTTAACCAAAAGCACAGGGGATAATAAACTACATAACGATTCCTAATGAGCACTACTTCATATGTGCAACTTCAAAACTTTTGGGTGGTTCGACGATCATTTAAGGTTTTTCTGGTCATATTTTTTGTAATCCAGAATTAAAAGTATGAAAAAAGTGTTCAATTAGTTATAAATAACATAATAGCCAGCTAGATAATAACAATGGCACGTATTTCAGCATTTATTGGGTAGAACACAAATCTAGGGTGCTCGCATAAGGCAGCTTAACTGCCTAAAAATCATTTATTTTAGTTCATTATTATATCTCTCATTTACAAAATAATTATTTAATACCATGATAGATCTATGAGACTTGTAATGTACTTTACCATCACACATCAAATGATATTCTTAAGCCTCAGTCAGCTTCCGAAAAAATTCTTAAATTAATATGTCAAATTAAGTTTTTCCAACTACTGTCAGAGTCAAATTGATTGATTGATTGAATGGTGTTTAACGCCACTTTCAACACTATTGTGCTATTTCGTGGCAGTCAGTTTTTATTGGTGGAGGAAGCCAGAGTGCCCGGAGAGAACCACGACCTTCGGTGGGAAAACTGACAATCCTAGTCAATTAAGATTGGAGTTGAGTGCACCTACCCTGTGCTGGATTGGAACTCACAACCTCAGTGTTGATAAGCTAGTGATACAGTTGTTCGACTACTTAGACCACTCTGCCACCGAGGCCCCCCATTGAATTGAAGAAAAATTTCAATGGAACAATAACTTTTAAAAAAACTCACATTAATGATACATCATAACAACCTCAAATTTTGTATGTATGACAACAATGTCATCCATTCTGTAGGATAATCTCTAAATATTAATCAAAATCCATAATTAATACACAGACATTCCATCCATTACCATATAGTTGTAACCTTTAAGATATTATGATCATGATACTTTTTAGAACTACCGGTAGGGCAGCAGTTATATGAGTTAGATCCATGCAACCAGTACAAAACTTTGGCCTGAAGAATCTTTCCAAGTGTATGTTTTAATATTAACTGTCTAATTAATTAATGAGTCTTGACAGCCTATCTATTTAATGATACTCTTGTTCCAAAGTTTGGATACCACAAGTAGATTGAGATGTGGAGTAATCAATAATATAGACAGTTTTATAAATCAATTTTGTTATGAAGTGTAAAAAAATGAAAAATGATAAGACTTTTAACTTTATAGACAAAACAAAAACCACAATTGTCGATTTTGTGAACCTTTTCTCCAAATAACATTAGAGTCAAATTGCATGAAATATGAGTTCACTTAGTAGGTATTGGAAAGCTGCCACCCCTATGGATTAGTATAATACAAGTTTTATACTGTTACATAATCACTCTTTATAAATAATCCTATATTTATCAGATTTTCAAATGTCGATGTGACAGTGAGACCCATTAATTTTACACTTTTGATGCACATTTCCTTCACATCCTTAACAATAACTTAACAATCATAACTGAACCATGAGACCATAGATGTATCCTTAGCAATAGCTTAACAATCCTTAACTGAACCATGAGACCATAGATGTATCTATGAGACTAAAAACATCACATCCTTAACAATAACTTAACAATCATAACTGAACCATGAGACCATAGATGTATCTATGAGACTAAAAACATCACATCCTTAACAATAACTTAACAATCCATAACTGAACCATGAGACCATAGATGTATCTATGAGACTAAAAACATCACATCCTTAACAATAACTTAACAATCCATAACTGAACCATGAGACCATAGATGTATCTATGAGACTAAAAACATCACATCCTTAACAATAACTTAACAATCATAACTGAACCATGAGACCATAGATGTATCTAAAAAACTAAAAACATCACATCCTTAACAATAACTTAACAATCATAACTGAACCATGAGACCATAGATGTATCTATGAGACTAAAAACATCACATCCTTAACAATAACTTAACAATCATAACTGAACCATGAGACCATAGATGTATCTATGATGAGACTAAAAACATCACATCCTTATATATATATAATTAACAATAACTTAACAATAACTTAACAATCATAACTGAACCATGAGACCATAGATGTATCTATGATGAGACTAAAAACATCACATCCTTATATATATATAATTAACAATAACTTAACAATAACTTAACAATCATAACTGAACCATGAGACCATAGATGTATCTATGATGAGACAAAAAACAAATTTATGTGGATCTACATTCTGAACAGGATGTATATTTTTGTGGAATATTTATAGTGGTATCAATTATGTTTCACATAACCACCCTAAATCTGAAGAGGAACAAATCACCAGCTTCATATGATCAAAACAATATATTCTAAGATACGGCATATTACAGGTGATTACTTAACATACCTGGAACCACAATCAATGCTTTTCTTATTTTATTGTATGGACTTTTAATAGAAAGCCACTTTTTGGCACTCGACTCCAATCTTAATAGACTAGGATTGTTAGTTTTCCTACCGAAGGTCGGTGGTTTTCTCCAGGCACTCCGGCTACCTCCACCAATAAAAACTGACCACCACGAAATAGCACAATAGTGTTGAAATTGGCGTTAAACACCAATCAATCAATCAATCATTATATTTGGAACCCTAGGGAAAAATCTAATGATCTTATTTCAGGACAATCACATTTGATCAAAAGGGTCAACTTGAATGAAACAAATTTTATCTGTAACTTTCTTCATGTACATTTTGTACTTGTCTAATTGATACACAAATGTATATGTACTATTTATTGTAGCGAGAGAAAAAATATGTATCCACAACTTATAAATCCAGATTTTACAGTGAAACTTTTGTTCTGTCATTTATCAAAATAAAACGAATGTGTCTAATGTCATAGTGATCAAAATGTTGCTGAATAGTACTATAATGGTGAACAATATACAAAAACATATGTTATTATGTAAACCAAAGTATTTTCAGTATGAAATGTTTGTTAAACTGACTCGAATATTTTCAATAGCATATTGTACTACAGCAGAAGATCACATGAGTGAAATATCATCAATAATTACATAGACTTTAGGGATATTAACACCAAATGTAAATCAATCAGAAAAATCATATATATTTGTGGTGGAGCCTAAAAAGTGATGTTTAAATTTCTCTGTTTAAAATATTATTTTGTCAATTAAAATGACGTCAGCAGTTTATTCCTATTGATACCCTTTATTGCTCTGCTTATCATATCTCATTCTATACAGAATGTATCAGTGACCCTTTTCACAAAAAAATCTTACAGCTAAAAATACTTGTAAGTTATGAACATTTCAGTATAACTTAAGATCAATTTTCATCGTTAGATTTTTTTGCGAAAAGAGCTGCAGGGCCATATTTCACGAAAGTTCCAACAAAAAATGAATAACACAAAGTTATTAGAGAATTCAATTTGTTTACTTTTTATATAGTTACAATTTATAAGACCACTTTTGAACAACTATGGAATTTCTAAACCAAAAAATATCTTTGACCTTAATCTACCTACAGAATTATTTCATGAAGTAACATACAATTAAACAGATCATTTACAAATAAAATATGATGCAGTTTTCAAATTATAATTTATATTACTCTGTTAATTATACTGATAATTCTTACCTCTTGTAAATAGAAATGAGTTATTCAGTATAAATTCACATTTTTGTAAGTCCAAGGCTGCCATAAAAAAATTTTATATTGAATGTTATCACAACACACGAACTTATAACGGAGTTTAAATATTTAGATATAATTCTCATGTCTTACAATATTGGCAGCGTAACAATAAATGTTTTTACAGGTCATTAATCCTGGCTGTAGTATTTGATATTAAACTTTTAACACTGATCGACATGAAGTTAATGTTAATATAACACTATAGGTTGCATAAACGATCTGAGAACTGCTGTTAACCGAGAGAAGAGTTATCTAATAGCTAAAGAGCTTGCAGTGGCTATTTAACAGCATATTGTTGTGCTATTTATTTTATACCAAACCAATATTATAACAAATTCTTTCTCTAATAAGAAAATTTGGATTTTGGAAACATAATTAACAATATAATACCCTATCATAATTACCATGGTAATGTTGTTTATAAAGCTTATAAATTTTAGTAATTTCTATTGAAAATCAATAGTTCATTGAATAAAATTACATATTTAATTTCATTATTAATATTTCTATAGTTAAAATCATAACCATCCATATGCTAATCCAATTTCATAAACATTATATTTTATTGTGTCATGACTTTGAAGCTTTCTGAAACTGTTAGAACTGTTTCTAGAGTTGCTGATACAAATTCTAGTTAAGAAAACTTGATCATTCTATAAATTGAATTTAGACTTGAACATCAATAAGTATCCAGTATTTAATCATGAGTGCTCATATTTAACCCCTTCCATATTCTTCACTTTACATTGTGAAATAAGAATACTAAGATTTAACCCCTGATTTTTACTTCACTTTTCCTTCTAACATTGTAGGCTGCAAAGACCATTTTACCTCTTGCTTACCATCTGTGTGAAATAAAGTCTTAAAAGTGGCCCACAATAGAAGCATTTAGTCTTACACAAATGTATAAACAACCAACAAATGCCTTATCAAGAAAATGGTATTTGAGAATTATTCAACAAGGCTTAAAAATTTTCACAAATTTTATGTAAAATGATGTTTATCATGCATGAATACTATAAACAAGTTTTCGAGGAAGATGGTAATGCCACCATTTGACTTCAATCTCTAAAACTAAATAATGAAGTGCTAATATCAGGCATAACTGTTTTGTCCAGGTTTTTATTATAAAAAGTGGCTTATTTTAAAAATGTTAGTATTGTCCCCTAAGGAGAGAAAAATACTTCTGTTTTCTGTATATATATATATATATGGCTACCATACAACACCCCTTCTGTGAGCATGGGTCTTACGAACAGACTAAAGAAGTCCAGATATCCATACTTCTATTGCATGATTACCCACCTACACTTGGGATGAATTACGGTCACAGAATTACCATTGTAAGGTCAATTAGGTGTACATACTGTCTACCAGGTTCATTAAATTCATTCACTTTTTTCACTTAATTTTTTTTTTATAAATCCTTTCTTCAGTAACTCATTCAGTGAAAATAAGTCATTACTGTAGAAATACATTTGTAGATTAAGCAGAAACTTTAATCTAAGGGAATTCTATGTATAAACCCAGTGAAAAGAGTTGTGGATTTCATCATAAATACAATATAAGCAGCTGTATATAAGGTGGGGAAAATGGCTTATTTTCAGCTGCAAGTTTACAGGCACTATGCACTATGTTTTGTTTATCTCAGAAGTAGTGATAAAGACTGGAAAATTGAAAACTATCAAGCCAGCCAAATAAGAGTTTTGATTGCACAAAAAGCAACCTTTACCCAAAAAATCAGTTCAGGAAAAGTATACTTAATCTTATAATACCAATATAACAGATAACTAAAACTCAAGTATAAACCAAACAATATGATATCAAAGAATGTTGGCAGTTATTGAAAGCAAGCTCAAGGTTGTTGAATTTTCTCATTTGTTTGTTTGACATTTTGTCATGGTGGAGCCTTTTATAGCTATGCAGTATGAGTTTTGTTCATTGTTGAAGGCTATACTGTGACCTATAGCTGCTAGCAACTCTGCTTATTATAGACAAAATTGGCAGAAAATATATTGACATCATTAAACTGGTTACATGAAAATGAAAGGCAGTTAGATTGGAAAGCAGACATGCACTTCATAGAAGCACATGGCCAATTGCAGGGCATAAATACTTGAGGCAAAGGAATAAAATTGAGAATGGAAATGGGGAATGTGTCAAAGAGACAACAACCCGACCATAGAGCAGACAACAGCCGAAGGCCACCAATGGGTCTTCAATGCAGCGAGAAACTCCCGCACCCGGAGGCGTCCTTCAGCTGGCCCCTAAACAAATATGTATACTAGTTCAGTGATAATGGACGTCATACTAAACTCCATATTATACACAAGAAACTAAAATTAAAATGATACAAGACTAACAAAGGCCAGAGACTCCTGACTTGGGACAGGCGCAAAAATGCGGCGGGGTTAAACATGTTTTTTGAGATCTCAACCCTCCCCCTATACCTCTAGCCAATGTAGAAAAAACAAACGTATAACAGTACGCACAGTAAAACTCAGTAAAAGAGAAGTCCGAGTCCGATGTCAGAATAGGAAACAAAAGAAAATAAACAAAATGACAATAATACATAAATAACAACAGACTACTAGCAGTTACTGACATGCCAGCTCCAGACCTCAATTAAACTGATTGAAAGATTATGTCTTCATCAAATGAATATCAGGCACAATCCCTCCTGTTAAGGGTTTAGTATTATACCATCATAAAATATATGAGAAGAACATAACCCGTGTCATGCCAACAATTGGTTTTAGAATAAATATGTTTAATTCCAATGCAAAGACCCTATAAGTGAATCAATATTAAAGCCAAAATATGCAATCTTTAATGACCTGACAACAGTATCGTAACTATATCCCTTCTTAATAAGTCTGTTTAAAGGTTTTGTTAGCTTTTGAAGTGAATACTGACATTTTTGTGCTTTGTAAAGAATATTACCATAAAAGATTGGAAGTGAAATACCCGAACATATAAGATGTCTGCATGTTGAGTTATATTTACTAATGATGTCCTTATACCGATGATAAAATTTAGTAAATGTTTTGACTAGATTATGAAATCGAAAACCCTGCTGAATAATTTTTCAGTAATACATAAATTTCTTTTGCTAAAATCTAATACGTTGTTACATACACGAGCGAATCGTACAAGTTGAGATATATAAACACCATAAGATGGTGACAAGGGAACGTCACCATCTAAAAATTCGTAAGGGTTCCGCGGAACCCAGTGTCTCGCCTACTTTTGCTCTTAATCGCAGGCTCAACAAAAATGAGGAAAAAATTAATAAAAATATTCCTCTCTATACTATCTTTTGATTGTAAGTAGCTTCTGTCCAAGTTTGGTAAAAATCAAGGATAGTTTATGAATCTAATAAATGTTTTAAAAACTTAAACTGCAGACTGTATGTAATGTTAACTGGAAGAAAAACTAAGTCCATTTATAAGTAAAATACAGAAAAAATGGAACAAAATTTCCTTCTAGATACTAGCTTTAAATCATAAACAAGCTTCTGTCCAAGTTTGGTACAAATCCAGGATAGTTTAAGAAAGTTGTTAAAATTTTAAAAACTTTAACCACAGAAAGAATGTAATGTTAACTGGCAGAAAAACTAACTGGCAGAAAAACTAAGTCCATTTATAAGTAAAATACGGAAAAAATGGAATTTTTTTTTTTACAAAATTTACTTCTGGATACTATCTTATGATCATAAACAAGCTTCTTTCCAAGTTTGGTAGAAATCCAGGATAGTTAAAGAAAGTTATTAAAATTTCAAAAACTTTAACCACAGAGTGAATGTAATGTTTCCTGGCAGAAAAACTAAGTCCATTTATAAGTAAAATATGGAAAAAATGGAATTTTTTTTTTTACAAAATTTACTTTTGAATATTATCTTATGATCATAAACAAGCTTCTGTCCAAGTTTGGTAGAAATCCAGGATAGTTTAAGAAAGTTATTAAAATTTCAAAAACAGAGTGAATATTTGTGGACGCCGCCATCGACGACGCCTATGACGGAATGTCGGATCGCTATGTCTCGCTTTTTCTACAAAAGTCGAAAGCTCGACAAAAATGGATAATTAACAATAGGAAATGAAAAATCATCTCTTTTATCATAAATTTTTGTATTAAGCTTCCCGTTAATGATATAGATATCAAGATCGGTGGAAAGGACAGTGGTCATTGTTAGTATTAGCTTTATTTAAAGTAAGTTCAACAGGATAAATTTCTTTAGTATACATACTGAAGTCGTCATTATTGAGAGCCAATATATCATCCAAATATCTAAAAGTGTTGTTTAATTTTTGTATCAGATGTTGTTTCGATGGGTCTTTGCTGATTTTAGTCATAAATTGTAACTCATAACAATACAAAAACAGGTCCGCAATAAGTGGTGCACAGTTAGTCCCCATTGGAATTCCGATAACTTGACGATATACGGAATCTCCAAAGCGAACAAAAATGTTATCAAGTAAAAATTCAAGGGCAGATATAATATCAAAGCATGTCCAATTGATATAGCTCTTTTGTTTGTTGCTACTAAAAAATGACCTTAAAGAGTTTGAACATATGTTTGAACCAAATCTGGTTACTTTTCTTTTGCAATATGTTCAAGTTACTGATACTGATTTGTTACATGACCTTGTGATATATGGTTAGAATACATCCACGAATATGTATCATAATGAATATACTGCTGGGTTCTCCTATTGAACAAGTATTCCCATTTATTTTTTACAGTTAATTGTGTACTTACAATTACAGACTGATAATTTCAAAAGGTTTATCACTTCTATTTAAACAACAGTGTACATGTAGATATACCATTTAGAAATAAAACTTGTCTGAAAAAAATAATTCTCTTTGGCGGCCAATGTGTCACATGATCCCCTTTTATCTTGGTTGGGTGAGTTTAGGTTATTTGGATATGGTGTCATTGAAAAAAACACAAATAAGAGAAAAATAAAAAGTTCACTGGGAAAATTATTTTATCTATAGAAAATTTGGCCACAGTGGAAAGGTAGTTTCCTATCAATCTG